CTTCAGGGCCGAGAGGACGCTCACACTAACGCAATTCAACCTATCGACAATCGTGTTCGCGCTTCCTTCAATGTACGGACTTGCATATCCACTGGTTAGGGTAATTTAAGTACAAACATTTTTTTTGTCCTCGAATTTTTGCTTCGGAACTGACTGTTTTATTCTGCGGGTTTTTCCTAACCTTCTTAATATCATTACTAAGCAATAAACCTCCTAACGGTTTACCGCCTCATCGTGGCTAGGAGGTGTTCCTGCGTGTCGAGCTGCGATGTACAGCGGGGGATTCATCCCCGGCAGGGTCTCCCAAGCTGAGAAGATGTCTGGCTTTTCCATCAGGAAGCCTAGCTAAGAGTAAATCAATACCAGGATCGACCACCGTCCTGGTGTTAGACTAGTTGCGTGGTGGCAAACTTGCCTCTGATTCACAAGGGCTGCGACTGCCTGTGGTGGTGACGACCTGGAGCAGACATTGGCTAGGTTGACCTCGGAACTCCAAGGAAGCAATAACTAAACCAGCAAAACTCCGAAAAATGGATATTATGCTGGAGCCCGCAAAACCAGTGAGGACGGGCCTTCCAAGTATTCAAGTATGCAAGTCGATAGCTTGGAATGAAAAGAACGAATTGCAACTATCAACACAAATTGAAATAGAAAGAACTACCTTTTACATGTCTGTTGACCTAATTGAAGAGGCTAGAAGTGACAAACTAATAAACTGATAAGCTGCTACAATTAATTTCAGCTATCGCAAACATGTTTTTGCTTCGATATTATCTTTCCAGATTTGCCTGCGTCGGCACTTTTATCTCAGACAACGTGTAGATGATCTCCTGGACACCATTTTCCATCGAAATCCGACAATTACATTAGAGCCATCACAAGACGATGGTCATACTTTACACATAACACCAGAGCTCAGCAGTTCGCACAGGTAAGCGTGCCAAGACCAACAACTACGTAGCGCATCTCGTCTTCACTTCGCGTCTCTGTCGCACAACTACACTTTCTATGGTGTTTGTACAATTCTAAGCGTCTTCATAACTTCCAGTTATGTCGAGTTAAATGACTTACATATGCTTAGCACCGGAAAAAACTCCCAATCGTACCAAATCGAAGTTATAAGCTAGGGTTTGAAAATTAAGGAAAAATTACGCGGTAATGAGGAGAAAAATCGAAAAAAATAAAGAAAGAAGAGAAGAAATTTGAGAAAATATCATGTACTTAATACTTAAGCCTTACTTAATTAGAAAGGACTGTGGAAACGTATCGGCCCAGAAACACGACAAACACCACGACACTCAAACGCAATACTTCATTTTTACTTGTCTTACATGATGACCTAACCATAGGAGTGGCTAGCTCACTCTTGGCTGGACTTACACGTTGAAATATCAAATATACTTTTGGATAACCCCTTTGAAGTGATGCACTCCAAGAACATCCGCGGCTACCACGGGCATTGGAGCTTTAAAGAGGTGGAGAAAAGGAGTATGGAGGTGTAGGTGTTAGGATTTAAAACTAAAAATCCACTGCTATCATCGAATTAGAGAACGGCAACCCAATGATACTAGTGCCGTTCCTCACTAGTACGGTACCCGTTCGATCGCGCTTCAAGGCTCACCTAGCCTCCTATCTCTCCGAAGTAGGGAAATAGGTGCCAGACCTGTGTGGGACAAGTTCACTTCCTCTAATCCACGTGGGAACGACTTAGCACGGCTATCTCAGAATTCTAGGAAGACATGACTCGTCCAGCATTCAGCGACATTTATGATGAAGACAAGAAGCCTCAATCCTGCGGCCGAACTCATACACAGAAAGTTCGAAGACCTTCGTGGATGATGGATGCGAGGGAACTAATAGAATGCAAGAATTATTGGAATCCGCACAGTATATGTGATTATGGGTCACGTAAAGTGAATAAATAATTGTTGAATTCAGTAGTTATCTAGTAATCTACCGCGAAATAAAAGGCCTCATTTCTAATCGTCCTCACTAATTATTTCATTTCAAAACATTTTTTTTCAGCTACCGGTCAGATCATGATCGTCGAGTGGATTTTCATGTGGCCCCCGAACGACACGCCGAGATTCTAGCGACGTTTTGGGATCGACAAGAAGAACAATGGGGACTGTAGATAAATCCTTTCCACCACAATTCTCCGTTTCACTTGTAGCATACAATAAAATTTAGACGCTTTTTTTCTCGAACTGTCTACAACGCCTTTAGTTGACATACGTTGAACTTGTGAGCATAATTTAGAAAAGGGCGCGTGTGGCCCAGTGATCGGAGTCGCCTTGCAATACAAATGGGATCGATCCTGCGCCCAGGCTCACTAAGCCTTCCATCCCTACGGGTCGGCAGAGTGGTTCCAGATTTGTCTGCGAGGATAGTAGCACTGGCTCGATACATCGGTAGGCCACCGCGAGTCATTGTAAAAGTCAATATATGCATTCAATCACCTCCAAACGATGCTTAGAGAAGTCGAATGCATGGCGCATCCCTCAAGGATTGATCAACTCCGAGAGCTTTATCGTTTTTCAATTCCGAAAAGAATTTGAAGTTAGCAACCGAGACTAAACAAAATAGGTTCGTAAGTAAAAATATTATCAAATCACCACCACCACATCATGGGAAATCGTCCGCAGAGGCAAATGGTGGGCGGTCGGTGCGAGGAAATGAATCGAGTGCAAGAAATAATGGGATTCTCACAGTGTGATACATATGATATCACGTCGTGTAATAACAATAACAATAATTTTAACTTATTATTTACTGCTTACTCGTTTTAACGGCATGGTAGATTGCGAAATATAACTTCAATGATGCTGAGATATTTGCAAAACTCCGTGCCGCAGGTATCTGCGGTGGGGAACGAACGCGCAATTGACCTTTTTGGAGAGTAACGCGTTCACCACCACACCACGCGGGTTCTTCGTTTCGTCTGTCTCTCAGCTAGTTCTGTCGATCTCTGCCATCAGCAATCACCCGTCAGTGGGATTGATCTGAGGAGCCTAAATCGGCACCGAAACCAAGCTCTGGTTGAGAGGCAGGTGAAACGAAGGACACGCGTGGTGTGGTGGTGAACCCGTTACTCTCCGGAAAGGACAATAGCGCTTTCGTTCCCCATCGCAGACACCTGCGGCACGGAGTTTTGCAAATATTTCAGCATCATTGAAGTAATAACAACAACACTGTTTAGTTCGGCCTAACCTCTGAATCGAAGCCTTTCCCGGGGTGTTCGATTCTCTCTCACTCCTGGAAGTAATCCCTCCCAACGATGCTCCCAAACGACGCATTCGCGCGAATGAGCACCCCGTCGCGTGCGATGTTTACGTGTCGCGTACGGATTCTATTTTGGCGCGGGCTTTGTCTCCACGGAGCACTTGGACCTGTTAGCGACGCTAACGTCTAGTTTTCAAATTAACTGCGTTTCCAAGTCTATTTTTTGTGAACGCATGTCTTATTGCCTTTACGTAATGAAGGATTGTCTTTTCTTTATAACCGTAAAACACACACTGTTCTTTTTTACTCGTTTTTAAAAGCGAAGTATAGAATAGTGTTAGATTTGTAAAATGTTGGAAAATTTACATAGTAAATACCTTCAGAAGATTTCTGTTTTCTCTTATGCTCTCACAGCAGATCATGGTGATGATGTCGACATCGAAATATCTGAAATCTATGAGCCATCTAGGGGCGCGTGTAGCGCAGTGGTCGGAGACGCCCTGCATTACACACGTGATCGATCCCCGCGCTCCTGGCCCACTAAACCTTCCATCCTTCCGCGGTCGACAAATTGGTACCAGACATGCCTGAGAGAATATCAGCACTGGTTCGGCACATCGGTAGGCGACTGCGAGTCATTGTAAGGGCCAAAAATGCCTTAAATCACCTCCAGCGATCTTTAATGAGGTCGAATGCGTGGCGCATCCCTCAGGGGAGTGATCAACGCTGAGAGCTTTATCCGTTATTTTTTTATGACCCATTTGAAAGAAGTCAGGAGATTTTCATGGGAAGCGTGTCTTTTTGGAGTACGTAAACGTGGCGTAACCTAATCAAATATTGGCTCGTTTCTTTCTTAGCAAATATTCTAGGCCCTATATTACTTTATCAATGAAAAGAATAGAGATTGGCTTTTTTCCCCGAAGATGTAGTGTTTTCGCAGCGTCCCTCAAGCTTGTTCCTTCGATTTCCTTTGAATGTCTTAGAATGTCCTGCCTTCACTAATCGTCAATCAATAAGCCATCGATCGATTTCATGCTTCTTGTACGGCGCTGTTCCATTTAAAATGTAAAATTAACTTACGGACTTATATGTGTTTGTTCAGATTTTCTGTACAGCCTGTATTTAAACCGATATTCCACTTCGCATTGTGACAGTGACCTCAGAAATTCTATTTTTTAAATGGATAGTGGACAAACGAGTGGGGAAACTAGGTTTGCCTGTGCTCTTGCTCCCTTTCTGTCTGTCTGCTTGTAAAGAAATTGCTCTTACTATTGGTTTTTTTTAGTTTCCAAGTCGTTATCATAAGTTTTTCAGTGTGGTAGAAAAGTACTTGGGATGGTTGTTTTGGGAGGATCCGAATAAGAAATTGGACAAAGCTGAGAAGAGTCTCTTCACTAGATTTGGTGCAAATGTACTGTCCCAATTCGTACAGGTACGTTTCAGTACGGCAGTACGACAGTAGAATTCGTTTCCACCCCTACCTACCCCTCCCTTCCACCGCAGACCAGGGAGTTTTGCCAGATATCTGAGTTATATCAGATCGTTATGGTTATATTTCACGGAATATCCTGCCATTGAGAAAGAGAAGGCAATAAATAAAGAGTGCCGACATTGTGATTTGTGTCACAGCTTCAGCTTAACTGGGTTCGATGCCGATTTGTGCTCCTCGGACCAATCCCGTTGACGGGTGATTGCTGGTAGCACCCATAAGCTATGGTTTCGCCTACGCCTTGAGGCTTCAGCTGATTTCTTTTTAGATCAATTTCAAAGGTAGTGAGATGTACACGGTCACAATGGAAGCCACAGAGGAGAAGAAGTTCAATGATCCTGTGGTTTTAGTTCACGGATTTGGAGCCGGTGTTGCTGTTTGGTGTGCGAATATCACCGCATTGGCTAAGCATCACTGTGTTCACGCCTTCGATTTGCTAGGTATGTTTCATCAGGCTGTTTTCTACGTTTTTTCAGGTGAATGTGAATATGTTTTATAAACGAATGGTGCTCTGATTTTAGCGCCTACAAAGTGCTCAGAATCTGCCAGAGTTTTTCTTTTATATCTAATGTCTTGAAATTACAAATTCTGAGGTCTAACATTCTCCCAGCGTTTTACCGCCTCATCGTGGCTGCGAGGTGTTCCTGGGTGTCGGGCTGCGATGTGCAGCAGGAGGATTCATCCTCCAGCATCGTCTCCCGAGAAAAGGAGTCCGGCTTTCCGATCACGAATTCTAGCAGCTGGGAGTAAACCAATACCAAGATCTATCACTGTCCTGGTATCAAATTAGTCGCATGGTGGTAAATCTCCCGCTGATCCACAAACGGTTTGAGGTAGACTTTGGCCTGCATGACCTCTCCACGAACCACAATAGGTAAACCAGCAAAATTCCGAGGAAGTGGAAATTATGGCGCATAACCAGTGAAGACGGGTCATCCTATATTCTATTCATGATTTTACAGCTTACACAAATAATGTTTAAGTTTGCTGTCATCTTTTCGAAGTCTTTCTAAGTTCACTTTGAAAAGTATTTGGTCAGTTTGTATTTGAAGGATTCGGACGTTCTTCACGACCTCCATTCAATAGTGACCCCATGCTAGCTGAACTGGAAATGGTGGAATCCATTGAACGCTGGAGAAAAGCAATGCGCATAAAGAGAATGTACCTCGTCGCCCATTCTTTCGGTTCTTTTATCAATTCCGATATTGTGTGGTGTTTATGTCTTCTGCGAAACATTGTCTTTTAATTTAGGGGCATACCTTGCTTCTTCTTATGCGTTGAAGTTTCCAAACCGTCTTAAACATCTTGTCCTAGTCGATCCATGGGGATTTCCCGAAAAGGCTACATCACTTGAGAAGCAAGTATGAATTAGACGAACGTTTCTTTGTGGTTTTCTGTCTATTCGTTTGATTATCTGCAGTTTGTAGGTAAATCCCTATCCGTGGTTATCTGTTGCTGGTCGGATTTTGTCACATGTCAATCCTTTGGCTGCTTTGCGTTTTGCCGGGCCTCTATACGGTAATCAAACTCACGATAAGTATTTTTTGACTAGTTTTGCTTTTTTTTCACTTCAGGCCCAGTACTTGTGAAAATTCTCCGACCGGACCTAGGTTCTCGTTACAGAAGTGAGAACGAGGATGATATATACATCTATTTGTATTACTGTAATTCGAAAAACCCTACTGGTGAAACTGCGTTCAAGAAGATGACTCTTCCGTTGGGTTGGGCTAAACGACCGATGATCAAGAGGTGATTTTTTTGTTTTCCCTTTTTGTTTGTACTTATTATATTGAAACTATTCCTTCTTTATTAGATTTCACGGAATCGATAAAAGCGTCCCAGTAACATTTATTTATGGGAGTAGGAGTTGGATTGATCCTGCATCAGCTTTCGAAATTCAGACCAAAAGAGATGGCGTTGATGTACAGGTAACTAGCTTTCCTTTTGCGAGTTTATTTTGATATTTGTTCATCCAGTGTCCCGAGAGTACTTATTAATTATAGGTCATACTTGGAGCTGGACATCACGTTTACGCTGATTCCCCAGCAGCTTTCAATGATGTCATTTATTCAGTCATTACTGGTGAAAGGAATAGATCCAACAGTTAGTATCCCATTGGTGCAATACGGATGAAAGCGCAACTGATTCGGGCTATCTGTGTGAAACACAGTCTAAATGAGCGAGTAGCCTACTTATGTGGAGTTGGAATCGCCTTTTTTCTGATTAACCTGATTTCTATCTAATAATTCCTGTTTTTGTCTTAGCTTTTGATCGTTTGGATGTTTTATATCTACTTAGCTCGCAGTTACGCCTGTTCATGTTCATACGTAGAGGATTTGTTTTCCTAGAACATTCAGCCCTTATTCACTCTTCATCTAGTCGATTAGTTGATTGATTTACTTTCCTAATCATCATTGATTAACCTATCGCACCAACATAATGGAAATTTTCTGTTCTAAGGATGTCGCCTTCTATATTGTACATAATAAAACTTTTTAGGGAAATGTTTGCTTGTCAGATCGTGTTTTAAATCATAGTTATTTAAAATGTCACATCGTGTAGTGTGCCTTTGTAACGATATATTTGTAAAAGCGATTTCGAATTTATATATTTTTGTTAGGCGATGTCAGAGAAGAAGGTGTTAACAGCTGATAAGGAGTTGTTCCTTCGACACGCAACCGTTCTTTACGAGACTTGGGTTGGTTTCGAGTCACTTCTTTCATCTGTAATGTCGATTTCAATGAATATCATTTAAGAACGATGGTTCCGGTGGTCTAGAAGAGGTGGATGGATTGGTGGTGTTAGTTGGTCAAGATGAAGGTGCACCACAATATTCGAAGTCGAAATCGTTCCAGGTTATTTATTCCAGATACGTCTGGTCTATGAAATGGGGCTAAATTCATGCGTTAAGATTTTTTTCCTGACGAGAGCAATTTCAGATATGGATGCTCAACACAGAGTTGCTGGACACATTGATGTTATTTACTAAAAAAGGTATCTAAGTTCACTTATCTTTTTAACTACACTTCATAATTCACCAGTGATATGCATATTTTAGGTATTTACGTGTTAGCTAGTAATAGAAAAGCAGACTACTTTAACAGTGTCAGATCAGAGGATTTTGTTGGAGTTGTACCACCAGTGACACCTATGTATAGAGATAAAGTGGGCTTTCGTGGCTTTTGGGATTGCAAACCTTTGATTCTTTATTATAATTCTTTCTTTCAGTCGGACAAAGACGCAGCCAATTTTTCGAAACTTTTGAATTTCATTAAAAACGATGCTAACAACAAAGTTGGTTATTTTGCTAAGGATACCTTCGACTCGGATTTCTGCAATGATTGGCGAAAGGTCTTCGCTGGTGTTGAAAAGGTGAGTTTATAATTCGGGTTTTAAATTTCTTTCGTTGTTAGGAAAGCGATGTGTTTGTAGAATTGCATTGAGATTAACAGTTTGGCAACAGCAAAACCACTGTGTTTAATTGGTGTACCTTTTATAGGTGATTTCTTTCATCCATGGATGACACACCTTCACTTGCCCGGACTTCGCTATGTTTTCTACTGTTTTGTTTTCGTCGAAATAACTGTCCACCCTGATTGTCCGTTACAAGATTTCTGCTACTACCTTTACATTTAATATAGGTCATGTTTGTACGGCAAATCATAGAGCGCTATTATACGTGCAGTCCAGAGGTCGGTGCTGGGAGCGTCCGGCAATACACAGGTAGAGGAGAGAATCTGAAGTCTCGAACTGCGTCAGCAATCAAGAATCAGAGGAGCCATAATGTGCGCTAAAATGTCAAGAATCAGATGAGTCGGGCCTGTGGGAAGTCTGTGCGGTGGCCGCTAGACAAGAGCCATTATCGGTAGAATCCCACTCGATGCCAAGTTCAACAAGAAGACTAGAGCAACTCGATGCTCATAGCTCTTCACGAAGACCCTCGAAGAATGATATGACTCTCAGCTACTCTTTTGAACAAATAGGACCCATTGAGGTGCCTCTTTTCGCAACAAGAATTAGTGGAGACTTTACTGACGCTTGCTCTAGTCATCAATCGTTAATGAGTGAGACGAAAAGTTATACAAGTGCCATAGATGATTTTAAAACTGGTTTACTCTCATTCACCCTCTTCAGTCACGACGAATCGATAGGATGCTTAAGGGTTTCTCAAATTTCTTTTTCCAGGTGGATGTTTCTAACGCTTTTGTGCATATTTTTGCCACGAAAGATAGCAAAGAGATTGAAACCTGTCGGAATTCTGCCACCGCGTCCGTCAATGCATGGAGCTATGCAAGGAAGAAATTTATTGAAGCCATTGATCAAGAAAAGGTATCTCTCCGTCCATAGTCTTTGTGTCACTGGTTAACAAAGAGGAATATTTTCTCCATGAAACGTAAAGTAGTTTCTATTGCTATAGAAAGTGAAGCATTCGCGTCTTGCCAATGAAATCGACGCGGAAATTGGTTCACTGAAAGTACAAGGGCAATTGTCCAAGAACAAAACAATTGAAACTTGCTATAATCCAATAATAATGAGTGGTGGGAACTACTCAATGAAGTGGAGCACTGAAAGGCTAGTTACTATTGCTTGAAACTATAGGTTTCGAGGTTTTTTTCCCTTGTAATTGAACTTGTTGCAGCTCCGACAAACTTCTTCATTACGGTGTCATAATAACATCACTCGGAGCGCGTCTAGAGGTTTCACATTCTTCTAGACCCTTGTTTCACTTTCCAAAGTAAAAGAACGGAAAAGAACACAATGATGTTTATCCGAATTTCAGAACTACTGTAGTAACATTACTCGCACATTGATGGTAGAACCATCAAAGAATCTTGAGGAGGCCTATGAAGCATTGCTTGCCACTCAAGCTGCTATCATTGAAACATTGAAGCCAGATACGAAGTTGTGCGATGTTTATGCCAATGGGGTGAAGGTGTTCCTTGGAAAATGTCCCAGTCTTGGTGACAATCTTTACAAAAGAGATTTTGGGTTAGATCTTCATTCATTATTGACCATCGAATAAAACTTGTTCATTGTACTGTTTTCCACATTTCAGTTTCGTTACTGGTATTGAGTTCCGTGAAGGAAGCCTAACAATTAGCCCAAAATGCGAGGAAAAGGTGCGTTTTTAGTTAAGGGAAAAGTATCATCTTAATTTTTACCTTTCAGGTGTGTCCTGGCATGATATTTATCGTGTCAGTTGGGATTGAGGGTCTCACTAACACGAAAGCGAAAGATGATGCAGGGAAGAACGTTACGATTGCTCTCTCAGATACTGTATGTCATCCATAGTCATGTACGATTTTTTTCGTGCTGACATGGTAAAACAGTTTTAAGGTTCTTGTGAACAAAGAAGGACCAAATGAAGTGCTCACAGAAAAGGCTAAAAGTCGTTTGAAGAACAGTGTTATTCGATTTAAGGAAGAAGAAGAGGATGGTATGCTGAATACAAACCACAATTCCGTTTGGTAGTTTTAAGTCGTTCATTAATTCTAGCAAAAGATTCAAATAAGGAAAATACGGAGGTGCTTGGCCGTGGGAAGCGTAGCGTGGTTCTTTCGGATCAGACAAGAAACAAAGCCACAAATGAAGACAAAAGAAAAGAACACCAGAAGATGTTGGCTCAACAGTTAAACGATGCTGCCAGGCAGCGACTCGCACAAGCCAGTGGTGCGAGTGAGGCAAAGAGGTGTTTTCTTTACCAACTATCGGATAGCATGTATAATAATATTGTTGTCTTGAGCTTAATTCATTTAACTTCATACAGGGTCAAGAAGTCTAATGTGTCGTACAAGTCATACGAGAAGTTCCCAATCGATTCGGAAGTAAATAAGCTAAACATTTACGTTGGTAGGTTCATTCGCGTATAATCGCTGCGGTTTCCTTCTATGATCTTCTCTGTTTGGTAATATTTATTTCTCTTCTGCTTCTGTTACGTATCCATCAAATTCACAACGATCACTTCATCGGGCTAACTATTATAGATAAACGCCACGACACTATAATTCTACCGATTTTTGGAATACCTGTCCCATTTCATATTTCGATGATAAAGGTATTTATTTACTCCGTTTATGGGAATGTTTGACGTATGGCCGTATGTATTCTTGGAGTTTAGAATTAGCTTTTTAGAATTGTTCTCAATCCGTTGAGGGTGATTTTACATATCTTCGTATCAACTTTACACATCCTGGTTCTCAGATTGGGAAAGAATTGGCCCAATTTCCTAATCCACTTGCTACTTATCTTAAGGAACTGACATACAGGTCTGCCGTTCTTCTACAACGTCGAAATCATGTTTTACTAAGCTTTAGAAATCATGTGCTACTAAAATGTTTTTGCAGAGCTAGCAACGTAAAGGAACACGGAGAAATTAGTGCTCCAAGTAACAATTTGACAACCGCGTTCCGACTAATCAAAGAAATCCAGAAACGGTTTAGGTAATTCGGATTTAATACTAATACTCAACCTGAAAAAAGGTTTATTTTGATAACTGCAGAACCGAGGAGGCTGAAGAGCGTGAAAAAGAAGGCGCTGTGAAGCAAGATAAATTAATTCTAAGTACTGCGAAAGCTAACCCAAAACTCAAAGATCTGTACGTTTGCTCCAGTTTCCGGATTTTTCACTATTTCGCAACTTTTTTTCCCTAAAAACACCTCTGAGATCTCTAATTTGACCCACTCTTCAATGTTTTCAGTTTCGTACGGCCAAACATTATTGCCAAACGTATATCCGGCTCACTAGAAGCGCATATTAACGGTTTTCGGTACGAGTTTCTTTTCTTCCTCTTAAGTTCTACGTTCCATGATTGTACCTTTTTTTTCGAGTCATATGATTTAGGTACACCTCTCTACGTGGTGATCGAATTGATGTTCTCTACAATAACATTAAACACGCATTTTTCCAACCATGTGATAATGAAATGATTATTTTGTTGCATTTTCATCTCAAACACCCGGTACTTTGGGGAAAAAAGAAGTACAAGTATGTACTACTTTTCTTGTCGTCAGTGTCATATATTTTCAATGTATGTATGACTCGTTTCCTAGGGATATTCAATTCTATACCGAAGTCGGAGAGATCACCACTGATCTTGGAAAATATCATCATATGCAGGATCGAGATGATGTGCAGAGTGAGCAGGTACTTGAATGTCATTAAAATGTGAGCGTTTGCGTATTTACAACTATATTTATAGATGGAACGTGAAATGCGAAGAAAGCTGAATCAAACGTTCCAGAATTTCTGTGATAAGGTATTTTCATCAAATATTGAATTTTTTCTAGCTTGCCTAGCTCTATGGTTGATTTCCTCTTGACAACGAAAGGGTTTTTCAGCCATTTCGTGCTGCGTATTGAAATATTAACTAGCATTAGTTTCTAATCATGCAGTCAGTTATCTCACATATTGTAGATATTAAAAAATACTTAAGGTAGTCAAGCAGACAAACGACCAATTTGATTTTGACGCACCATTCAGCGAGCTAGGCTTCTTAGGTGTTCCTCATCGTTCTAGTTGCACACTGAAACCAACCTCATCGTGCTTAGTTAACCTTACTGAATGGGTTAGTTCTGTTTAGTAATCTGCCTGCTAAAACGGTTCTTCCAAGTTTCGAAGAGTCGAATTTTCAGCCTCCATTCATTGTCACCTTAGATGAGGTGGAACTGGTGCATTTCGAGCGGGTTTCCTTCCAGTTGAAGAACTTCGATATGGTATTTATATTCAAGGATTATAATCGTAAAACACAAATGGTGCAGCAAATCCCAATGAGCAGTCTAGATAGTGTGAAGGTGAAATTTGTTAGTTTCGCTTCTTTCTCACTCAAACAAACGTGCTTTGTTTTTTAGGAGTGGCTGAATACCAGCGATTTGCGTTACACGGAGGGAATTCAATCTCTGAATTGGCCAAAGATCATGAAGGTATTCCCGACTTCATTGCAATCTAGGCAATTCTTTAGTGTTTATGTTTGTGCAGTAGTGGAAATTCCTCTTTTTCCATCTAATGTTTATAAACTTTTAAATATTTCCATACATTAGATGTGATGAGCTTTTATTGTTTTTGTAAACATTTGTAATTTTAGACAATTACGGACGATCCCGAAGAGTTTTTTGAGACAGGTGGCTGGAATTTCCTCGGAGCCGACTCAGATCAAGAAGCCGAACCAGAGGTATTTATTCCTGCATGATAATTATTTAGCGCACTCGAAATCGCTGTTTGATTTGTAGGATGAAAGCGAATCGGAAGATGCGTATTCTCCAAGCGAATCTGAATCAGGGGAAGATGAAACAGACGAAGATGAAAGTGAAGGTTGGTTGAAGTTTTGTTAAGAAAAAAATCTATACGAGTTGAATATATTCAGAGGATGCAACGTCGGAAGAAAGTGATGAGGAAGCATCTCTGGACTCTGATGAATCTGAAGGTAAAGACTGGTCCGATCTTGAGGAAGAGGCAGCACGAGCCGATAAACGACGTGATCTGGAGGACCGCGATGCTGGAAGTGACCGTAAGCTACAGCACCGTGATAGGGACAGAGATCGAAAGAGACACCAAAGCAATAAGGGAGGACCCGCGCCGAAGCGACACAAAGACTGATATTGTCAAACGTTTAAGTTTAATGAGTTTTTAACGGTGATGAACTCCGTGTTTGGTGAACGTGGCAGATTTTTCAATACACCTCGTGTAAATGTTTGTGTTATACAAATCTGTTTTGAACCGGGCAAAGAAGCTCGAAGTATTGCACGTTGGAAAGGATGTTAATGTCTGTTGTGAGGTCTTTTGAAAACCTAAATAACGGCTTTTATGCTGACTCTACTAAAAGAAAACAATGTAACACTGATTTGTATGAGCCTGCTGGAAATGTGTATCATTTACGCATTTCCTACCTTTTTCATAATTTTGGCATGTTTCCTACCCTTGCCATAATTTTGGCACCCTTCCATTTTGAGATGATCTTAATCCTCTTCATGAGGCCTTCTTACGTATGTTCTTCGCGTTTCCATGGATACTTGGCTTCCATCTCGTTTGCGAAATTTATACTTTTTCCTTTGTTTAAGCTGTTTACTTGATGTTACTGTATTGAATATAATTCGAACCACATGTAATTCCGCATGGATGCAGGTCAATGAATTGCTATTTACTGAATTTACGTAGTCATCTGCAGTCCAGGTGTGTCCAAATAATTTTTGACAATTTGTGTATTTGGCTTGACATTCATTGTCTACAAAAAGTAGGTGCAGGTCTACTTTAAAGTTATATTGTCAGTGGGATGGTGGTTTTTTTCACCTCCAGTTTTGCTTCTTCATACTGAGTTTCCAGGAAATCTGGACACTTAGTTGGAACGTATTTGCATTTTTTTCTTTTTTTCCTATGAGGGTGTATAGCGCAGTGGTCGGAGCGCGCGGCAGCACAGACGTGGGAATCCATGAGCCCGTAGCTCACCTAGCCTTCCATCCCTCCGGGATCAGCAAATTGGTACCAGACTTGTCTGGAGGGTAGCAGGACTGGATCGATGCATCTGCAGACACCGCGAGTCATTGTGAGGGCAAGATATGCATTCGACCACCTCCAACGAAGCTTGATCAAGTCGAATGCATCGCGCATCCTTCAGGGGTTGGTCAGTTTGGTCTCAACTCCAAGAGCTTTGTTCCTTTACCTTTGCATTTTTCATTTCTATGCACTGTAAATCATTCTATTTCACTTTTAACGTTTACGCCTTCTAACTCTCTTCTTCGGCACTTAATTGGTTTTGCAGGCATATTGAAGCTATGCACATTTCCCCGAAAAGAAAATCTGTCGTAACCAATGCGGGTAGTCAAAATATGCACGCAGAGAACTGTCTAAAAGCTTGGAAGTATTTGTGTGAAACGAAAATCTGACGGTGATCACCAGTTGGGTGTTTCGAATTATCAGGAATAAAGTTGCCGAGAATGGCGGTGGCGGAACGTTGTTAAAACTTAAAGCGTGGCCGTCAGAAAGGAGCTTCGACTTTGTAACCATCGTCTTTTCGACATAAAACGGGTGCGGGTGTGATGATCCGGCAGAAGAACAGCAAAGGATAGTTGAAAAGCTCTAAAACGCACCACACAGAAGTTTTGTATTCAGGTGGTATTTTTATGTCGCCATCATTCACAGTTCTCAAAACGGTTGATAATTGATTAGACTAATGCTGAAACAATTTATAGGTTAGGAGAGAAATCACAACGAATGAGAAGATGGCTAGCTTCCATAGTTAGAAATCAAGATTGACAAAAGTCGAAATTAACGCCCATGTTAAACGTGATGAGATTGCTAAAAAAGTATTCCATCCTGGAAACGCCCAACCAACAGGACTAGGAGCATACGAATAGGTGGAGAAGGGTGGTTTTGTATCTTCCGTCGGCTTTTTTTGAATATCTTACCATGAACCACTAACTTTGTTATAGGCCGGAATTAAATGCACTGGGTTTTCCACTTCATGGAATCTTGTGGCAGAAAATAAAGAATAGGAGTATCACCAATTTTATATCATTTACACGGGTAATCTCTCAAAGGGAGGAGAGAGATAGCGAAGTGATTGGCGGTGCAGTCTATCAGGAAGCAAGGTGTTGGTTCGACACCTCTCCAACGTTCTCTAGTCCATGCGGGAAGTCTTTAGCCCGGTTACCTCCTATACAAGAAAAATGAGGTTGACTAACATACTACAAGATTCATAAAGAAGATAAAATCCTTGAATAGCAGCCGAAAGAAGATGCGAAATGTTCGATGGTCTTTGTGGACGATGAATGCGAGGGAAACGAATCGAATGCAAGAAGGGCTGGGATCTCCAGAGTTGGTGTAGTGACGGGTCATGTAATTAAAAATAAAAACTCTCTTCAAGTCAGAGATTGAGTGCAACTCCTTGTTCGACAATGGTGTGTGTAGCGTAGTGGCTAGAGGTTCCCTGCAACACACACGTGGTATTTGGTTTGATCTAACGCCCAAGGTTCAGTCTTCCTTCCACAACTAAAGGGTTGGCAAATTGGTACCATACTTGTCTGGAAGAATTAAAAGCATCGCCTCTCGTTCTGCCTTTCTCTTAGCCAATTTTCTACCTAACAGCAGCATCAACAATCATCTGTCAACGGGAATGATCAGGGGAGCACAAATCGGTATTGAACCCAGTTAGGCTGAGGCTATAGTGGAAATCACAATCTTAACTTTTTTATTTAGTTCCTATTGTTATTGTTCACGGCGGGATATGATGTGAAATACAGCTACAGTGGTGCTGAAATATTTGCAAAACTCGGACTCAGGATTCAAACCATTCCCTAGGGCTTAGCTGTTCCTCACTTCACCACTACAGAACAAAGGCCTCAGTGGTGCCGTGCCTCGTATGAGCTCTAACATATGAACCCTCGGAAAGGGTGTTCGCAGTTTGATCTGGCCTAAGGTCCAAGTTTTGCAAATATCTCAGTGCCATAGTGGTTGTATTTTACACCGTACCCTCTCGTCAGAAATAATGATATGTAATAAATAAAAAAATTAATACTGACTTGATACATCGCTAGGCCACAGCAAGTATTTGTATAGACCAGACATCCATTTTGTCAATTCTAACGATACTGAGTGAAGTCGAATGCATAGCCCATCTCCACCAGCGGTTTTTCAGCTCTAAACGCTTTATTCATTTTATATAGTGGTTTTATGAACTATACGCCAAAGTGTCGTAAGTGGTAAGGTGGGCCGGACACAATGCAAATGAACAACAGCTGATGAACAAGAGCCATTAGAAGCTTGATTCTTCGGGATTTCAAATGTTCTGCAGGAAGGCCACCGACCCGATGATCAGAGTTTTTCGGAAAAACCGTGGAAGAAAAACATGCTGCTCGACAAATCCGCAGGACGAGCAGCACAACCAACTAGGCTACTCCTGCACACGATAGGGAGAAATAGAAAATTTGCTGGCACCCGCTTGGGTCAATCGACGATCGACGGGATGATAGGTGGCACAGGTGATGTACTTGTTCGGTACCGTGGAATTCGTAAAATTGAAACTGCAGGTTTGTATCAAAGTGAACGGAAAGATTCTAGATTGTTTCTAGTTGAGAACGCAGTCTGTAGAACGCCTAAAGAGAACACTTAAGGAATATAACCAATACGGACCTGTCTAATTGAATTTTGCGCATAGATAATTAATTTATCAAGATTCACATCAACCAGAGTCGTATTTACGTCTAATCTGTAGTACCCTCAACTTTCTACTGGAAGTTCGATATTTTTTATTTCTATTTGGACGGGTAACACAGTGGTAGTGGTGTCGACCATTACGACACGATGCTGGTTCGACCACGCTTCGATTCACCAAGCCTTTCATCCCTCCTGGTCGGGAGATTCGTAGCAGACCTTTCTGCGAAAAGTTCACTCCCTGCAATCCAAGTGGGAACAACCTAGTCTCGGTAACTCAGGACTCCAGAGAGAATCGATCCGATCAGCACTCAGCGACATTTGTGATGAAAGGAAATTCCTCAAGCAGCAGCAAAAGCCACACATAAAGCGTTGGGGGACCTTCGTGGATGCTGGATGCGAGGAAACAAATCGAATATGAGAAATCCTGGGTTTCGCACAGTTGGTGTAGTAAAGACGGGTCGTGTAAGAAAAATATTTTGCTGGTATAGTATAAAACTAGTAATACTTCTTATCTGTACTCTACAAAATGTGTATAATCTGCGTAAAGAAGGAACGAACATACGCTACAGTGGAAACACTAGGTATGTTAGGCAACTATGATAATATTCCACCAGATACAGCCGGATCGGCTCGAACGCAGCTATAGATGACTTGCATATCAGCATAACTAGCGGCGGATCCATAAACACCGCTACGGTTGCCACGCTGGATCAGAAGAGTTCGAATGCCTCTGGATCCGCACATTCACCGGTGACCATCGATGCAGGGCGGTAAGCAGCGACCTTCAAAGCAGGTGCGACCCATTTTCATGAGATTATGTTGCATAAAGTTTGGTCTAAAGATATTACTATGTCTGTAAACGGTGCGGTACAACTGCATTAGTCGAACCAATTGAAAAATCACTGTATCTGAGATTCGGTAATCTTTGCCTGGGTGTAACCTATTTGACTGCAAAGACAATGGACTAGGTTTAGTCGATACCAGCGTTGCACTGAGTTGAGAATAGATCCTCACTTTAGGTTTGATGTGAGACTCAGTTGTGACTGTCTTTCACTTAGACAATGTACGAGCAGTCCACTTCCCTACCACTTGTAAAGGTGTTTGATGAGTTTCGTCCTCTTTGTTGAAGATATCCCATTATCTAGGGTCCTCGTCGTAATCGTCTACGACTTTGTATTGTATGTGGTATGAAACAACATCAGTACTACATGCAAACTTTCACTGAAAATGCAACAAAAAGGTATTATCTTTTCTCTTTGTTTCTACCTCTTAGTTTTCATTACTATTATTGGAGCAGATAACACAAGTTTAACAACGTACAGATTAAATTAGAGTTTAAAATGCTATAACAAATTCTGCAAGATTCTATCACGTGCAGATATTAATTTTTCAAGACATAATAACAAGCATCCCCCAACGGTTTATACCGCCTCATCGTGACTGGGAGGTGTTCCTGGGTGTAGGGCTGCGATGTACATCGGTTAGATTCATCCTTCAGCATGGTCTCCCAGGCTGAGGAGTCCGGCGTTTCCGTTAGGAGGGCGATCTAAGAGTAAACCAATACCAGGATCCACCACCGTCCTGGTGTCAAACTAGTCGCATGGTGGCAAATCTCTTTTGGTCACAAACTTTGGCCAGGCTGACCTCAGGACTCCCGGGAAACAATGGCTAAACCAGCAAAATTCTGAAAAAGGGAGAGTATGCCGGGGGCCGCGCGACCGGTAGGAACTGTCCAAGTATCCAAGTAAGTATGTAATAACCAGTGCACAAGGAACTATGAGTGCATGTAAATAGCGATGGTTTCCCGATCAGTATTTATACATGATTAATTCAGATTCAGTTTGTTACATCGCTGTCAGGTGCTCGGTCAACTAATCGCATGAGTGAGTCATTGCCGTCACATCGGTAGCGCTGTTGTCTTTGAAGAACTGAAGTCATAAAGAGTAAACCCTTCAATTGACGAAGGCCAGAACCTGCATGTGGCGACAACCTAGGAATGCCTTATCACGATTATCTCGGAATTCCATGAAAAATCACGTTCGATCAGCATTCGGCATGAAAATTAGGAGAAAAATCCACAGATCTTCATGCTGCAGCCGAATTCACGATCGAAGTGGACCAGTTCGTGGATAATGTAGAAAGGCAATGAAACAAATTAAAGTGCTGAGATCCGAGCGACCTGTGAAGACGAGTCATCTGTTGAAATACCGTAATGGTAACAACTGAATGATCACATGCTGACGAAACGTTTAGGCGGGTGCTAGAACGTTGGTGGCTGATAGTCATGTTGTATTCTTGTAAAGGGTAGCTTCGCATTAAAGGCCTTGTGTCATCTTCATCTCTCATCTGTATGCAAACAAATAGTGATTAGCTAAAACTAGTAACCATTATTATGTTTCTTAGAAGCTTCATCCGTGGTTCATCACCTGTTGGTACTAAAATTAGTGCTTAGCAATTTTTTTCGGATAGTTAATGTAGCTACACGAATCTTTTGAAAAGGTCAAATAAGGGAACAGCATTACCAGATTTTTGTTCTTTCGTAGATTCGTTGAAAGTCTCGATGATGATTTTAACCATACATTCAATTTGTGGGTCAGTCGATCGAAAAGACGGCGTGTATTATTCCTTCAGTGACCAGTGTGCTGTACTTAGTCAGTTAGGTAACCTTAAACATCACCGATAGAAGTAATCGAACTCAGGTGTGAATTCGACTGCAAATTTGTGATTTCATTTTCCCAAGAAATACGAGGGAGCAATTCCTTGGTCTTCTCAGGTTATCAGTCTTTGTGAATCCGAAGTACTAGCATAATGGACTCTTTCAAGACGGCAGCAATTCCTGCCCTTAGTTGCTCGAGAGTTAAAGGATGATGTACCAAGCGAGATCCATCAATCCATCCATCCCATCATTGTTTTAGTGTAATATAGTGTTAAATAAAACTAATAAATTCACTTGTAACTGTCGTCCCGTTGATCGTCGAGTGACTGAAGCTGGCGCCAATAAAGCTTCCATTTCTTCCTGTCGAGTGCAAGAGTACCATAACGGGTTCTACTCGCTCTAGGGACTCGTTGAGCGTCATACCCTTTTTTCTAGGGTTTTCGTGAAGAACGCTGACCGTTGGATCGGTGGTCTTCCTGATGTGCATTTGAAATTTCAGTCACTAATGGCTCTTGTCCATTGGTTATCGTTCATACGCATTACGTGTCCAGTTCATTACATCTCCGATAATTTAACGATTAAAACGGGTTCTCGGACCTTTGATAGTTAAAGTAGGTTGGGGAGTTTCAGATCCTTTCTCTCACGTTCGTTATGCGGTGTACTTCTAAGATGGTCTTTTCGAGTTCGCGTTCTTTAACGCTGAGCGATCCTTCATCCTGCCTACGTAGTGACCAAGTTTTACAGCATCGGGGGTTCTTTGTTCTCTTCACTACATCCATGATGCTCTTGAAAGTTTCCCAAGTGGGTTTCCTTTTCCTGCTGTTTAACTCTGGAGTTAAGTCGTTCATTATGTTAATTTCCTGGTCTAGATAGACGTTGCTGGAAAGCACTCAGAAATATTCATTTTGTTGAGCATGAATGGAGCTTATGTAACCATTGAATTCCTCATGAACATCGTTTTTATAAGATTTAGTCAAAAACGAATCGTTCCACAGGCTTAAAAGTCCGCTAGCATTCGTTCCGCGTGGCTAATAGTTGATGTTATAAGAGCGATTGCACCAGCAAGACGAAGATGATGCACTTGCCGACCATCGAGTTTCACTGCTATGCTGGTCCACTCCAGAGTTCGAATGACGTTCTGGAGTGTGGCAGTAAATTTTGGCGAGATGGTATCGTCTTGCCTAACTCCTGTTTTGACGTCAGTGTTAATATCGTCGTAGAATGGTGATATCTTGGTTGTGAAATTCTTGTACAGCTTACGAAGAATCTTTTTATAGTGACTAGGAACTCCTTGACTATCAAGAGTTTCCATGAGTGCTTCTATCTCAATTGAATCAAACGCCTTCTTTAGATCGATGAAAGTGAAACAAAGCCGTTCTTGTACTCTCGCGATACTTCAATGAGCCTTTTTATCGTGTGGATGTGGTCCATCGTACTAAATCCTTTTCGAAATCCTGCTTACTCACATGGCCGACCTTCGTATAGTGTTCTGTCAATCCTGTTTCGATTAACTCAAATGAAAAATTTGTAGAAGACACACAACAAGCAGATTGGGCGATAGTTGCCGATATTGTAGAGGCCGCCGTTTTTGAACAGTAGCACGGTCGTGCTGGTCTTCCACTGAGTAGGGACCTTGAATTCAGACAGGTAACGCGTGAGTAGCAGTGCCATTGCGTTGATGAGTGGTGGAAGGTTCTTTATGTGTTCACATCTCATCCTGTCCAGGTGAAATGTTGCCCAATTCCTCACCGACAACATACAATGTGAGATTTCAGATGGGAGAATCAGTGGGGCGACATATCCATCCTTTATTTCATATGACGGCGGGGGAGACGATGATTTTGGAGAGATCCGAGTACTAATAGTGAGTGATTTTCTCCATTGCCTTTCGGGACGGCGTAATTGTTCCGTTTGAGCGTCGTAGTGCCACCAGCTTAGTTTTGTAATTGGGGAAATTTTGGTGGCCTTAGCGGATTCTTTTCCGAGTTTGTGTAGCTTCGACCACAGCTAGTGGTTCTGTCATTAAGATCTTCTTTTCTCGCCCGTGTGTGTTTTTTTGCAAATTCGGACGTGGGTTGGCGTTTGTCTGTAGCTCGTACGCCTCCACGATGGCATATCAGCTCGAGCGTTTCTAGAAACTAAGCCCGCTAATGAACTGATTAAATCCTAGTTTATGGTGAAGGTCGTACTTCGTTTTTTGAAGTTAGCGGCTTCTTCTTTCGGTGAGAAACGGAATCGTGCTCGAAGGAGGTAACTGTTTAATCCCGTGTAAAATTTTGGATAGCAGTGACACCGGTTAAGCAAAACCTTCAATTTTCAACGATGTGGTCTCTTTCGGTATGTTCTTCACTGGGAGACTCCTGGATCCTTCGCTGAGAATGGGGCTTCTGAATTTGCAAGTTACCATGGATGGTCCTGGTTATCACGATAAGCTTAGATAGGTGCTAACCCTTCTCGTTCCATTCTAATCCATGGGTCCCAATTTGGCTTTCCTCAGACGTTCTTCCAGATGAGATCTTTGTTAAGATCTCCAATGATGACCTTGAAAAATGTATTGTCTTCTCTGTATAACTTCTCCATGTTCATGTGGAATGCTTCGACTTCTTCCTCGTCATAGCTTGATGTCTGTGCCGAAACGACAAAGATGGTAAAACCACATCTATTGATCCACATCTCTTTAATGGTAAATGTCCGGTTCGGGTTGTTCGTTGCTTGAATGAATCGATGTGTTGACGAAAGCACCGACGCCGCCAATTCCTCTGCTGTCGTATGTTCCGAGGAACAGTTCTTCTCCGGTGTCATTGACGGCGTTGAATCGGTGGCTTCTTCTCGTTTCAGCCAGTCCGATGGCATCGTACCTTATCCTTCCTGTCTAAATGATTGAGACCTCTATAGAGGACTCATATGCAAGTGAGTGTGCATTGTAGGTAAGGATCGTCACTTTACTCTTTTGCGATTTAGGTTGCTTTGAATGGCCCTGAAATTTCAACAGTCTCTCTGTACTTGTCCTACCTGAAGCTGCTGTATCGAAGGCGCTAACTTTGTTAGGGGAATAAAGCCCACTTATTTAATTTTGCTTAGCGTTTCATACCCACGTATACCTCGCCTAGCATATTCATGGGCAGCTTGCCACTCTCTCCCAGAGTAGATGAGAAGATTATTTGTTTGAATCGACTCCTAATCGCCTCCCATATACTCCTCTGTTACTTTATTGGAGGCTTTTGGCCGAATTGACTCGTAGAATACAATCCGCGTAAACAGAGCACACTTACGCACGCATGCATGGATAGGTCCTGGTGAACTCAGAAGGTATGTGTCAAACCGGCGCAGTACGAATAGGAAGTCCATCGTGCGGATCCACATGCGTTTCAGGGAAACATAAGGCCGCTTTTGATCTACGATTCACTCTTTATCAGCCACGTGGGAACCGCCAAGCTGCCTAGCGTCTAATTGCTGTGTGATCCCTCTATGAAAAGGATCCGCGGCACCGTAACTAAGCAGCTAGAATCAGATTAAGTTAAATTTGTAGTGGAAAAAAATAAATTGAGTTATTTATTGTCATATATGCAGAGAAGAATGGATTCGACTCCTTCACGACAACGACACATTGTTGATGGAAAATCAACGGAAGAAATTGGATAGTTACGGTCGCAAGTAAACTCCTTTTAGTTTCTTCTTTTCAACTTCCAATTAAATCCGAAAACCGACTTCCTTTTGACCTCTGGATTGGTCAATAATTCACTGTATTCTTGATGAGCAAACGCGAGGTTGTTATTAAAGCATTTATTTATCCACAATAGCTGGCGTTTCGGCGGTTTCGTCTTCTTCAGAATCTGGAAGGGTGAAATTGGCAAGCAATCTATTCAGCCAAATACCTCCATAACCACAACAGATAAAATTTTATGCATAATTAAACAATCTCCTTTTCGTTCTTTTTCAGCCTAGTCAGTAGAGTAGTGCAAGTTAAAGTCGCTATCATCGCGCAGGAATCCAAAACAAAAGCGTGTAAAACGATTGAAGCGTTTTAGAAAGAAAAATTCAAAAAGTTCAGAACTGAACCGCAAGGAGGAGTGTCTTGTAGTCAAACGCGAACTCACGCGCACCTAAGGCTGATTTTTTGTCCTGGGTCTGTATTACTGGCCCATGTAACTCCGTACAGTTTATCTTCACCCTATAATTGGGACGCTTACGATGAAAAAAACGGTGAGTGTATAAAAGAAGCCGTTTGTTGTGCGAATGAAGATTTAAATATTAAGTTTTGTCTGCTGAGGTTATGAAAGTGTATTGCTGAGTATATTGCGTTTCAATTTGGTCTTTCCAGACTCTGAAGAATGCGAAGCAGCCGAAGTGTCAGCTATTCTGAAAAAATAAGTGCTGTAATATATGCTTTTTGTCTGCTAATCAAGGTTTATTGAAAAAAATTCTGTTGTTTTCATATCGTGGGGTCATAAGTGAGTATGATTATATACTCTACTAAGACCCTTAATGCTACCTTTAACGTGTACAAGTGGGACGTCGAATTATATGAAACTTTCTGTGGACCTCGGCATAAATAATCAATACATTTATATGTTCTGTTATATATGCTTAATACTTCGTCCTTCCAACGGTTTACCGCCTCATCATAACTGGGAGGTGTTCCTGGGTGTAGGGTTGCGATGTACAGCGGAGGGATTCATCCTTCCAGCTGAGTCTCACAAGCTGAAAGGGAGTCTGGCGGCGCTTGTATTAGGAAGCCCAGCTAAAGTTATACGAATACCAAGGTCCAATTATTTTTTTTTCCACCGTCCTGATATCAAATTGGTCGCATGATGGTAAATCTCCCGCTGATCCACGAGGGCGGCGAATGCCTGTGGTGATGACAACAACCTCGTGCAGACTTTGGCAAGACTGGCTTCGAGACTCCAGGGAGTCACAGTGGCTAAACCAACAAAATTCCGAAAAAGTGGAAATTATGCTGGGGGCCGCACAGCCAGTGAAGATGGGCTATCGAAGTATCGAAATAGTAATACTTTGTCAGGGAAGTCACATTCAGTCGAGTTCAGTGTGGAGTTTATTTCGCTTGCGAGGCAACAGGCTGGCTCTCCAAGCATCAATGTCTCTTTTCACAAAGTGTTGTTGCGTAGACTTTCAGGACAGCTACAGTCGACGGTAGTGTATGCATAATATTTTACCATGCTTAAATCCTCTATAGAATTTCTGTTCAAAGTAAAAAGAATTCGCGTAACACGCAATGCAAAAATAACTTTTCGCATTTGTTAAAGGTTGTCGACACTGGACCGAGGCAAGTATTATTACCAGCAGTGATTGTTGAACACGTTTCCGGTGCATTATAGGCAACTATATGCAAGCTTTTTAAGCCAAAAAGCCATACTGAGATAGTGACTTTAGTAGGACACGCTAATGTTTAATGTGATGCATAAGTATCTCGTTGGCTCCTCTTCACAACGAACCACGAACACTCACTGAGTCACTTGGTCGATTGACTATTGACTGGACACGATTTTCTTTCAATTATGATTCGCTGCTTCACTGCTTGATTGGTAGCCACACTGGAGCTTTCCCAGGTCACCTCGGACAGTTGCCTGCAGTTGTATTTCGGGGGAAGTTTGGTATTTTGGAACCAAATGTTTCCTCAGTGATCTCGGCCAAAGCCTGGCGTAGGTTCGCTCTTCACTGACTGTACGAAGGAATGCCTGGAAATCACTCTAAGCTTCAACGAACTTCGAGAATATGAATTCCAACTGCACATTGTAGACGAACCCACACAACACCATCTTCACCATGAAGCAGAAAGCCGTTAAAGGATAGAAATACTGTCACTATCTCAGTTTACAGACTGAATAAACTATTTCTGTTATTTTCGCGATACATGTTTGAAAAAAAATGCGAGGTTTACAAAATCTATTGCCTGTACACGAAATGAAGAGTATGGTGTCAAGTGACAGAGAATGAAAACAAACATTGCTACTTTGAGCCCAGTTATTGCTTTATTCTTAGTTCATCTGTTATTTTAAATGTTTAAAAATAATCCATCTTAGATTCATCTGCTACGATCATTTTGCGCCCAATCAGTTCGAAACTTCACATCAATCTCTACGCGCATTAATTCTGAAGAAGAACGCAGTTCCGTCACACTATGTTGGTTTCATCACAGAATTTCCTCTTCCGTAAAATTCTAACATAAATCTAGTTTTTTTTTATTTTATACAACCCGTATTCATGCGGATCTCAGCACTTCTCACATTCAATTCGTCTTTTCGGATCCATTTCCGCGAAGATCTTCCAACTTTTACGTGTGGCTTCGGTTACTGCTTGAGGATTTTCATTTCACCTTAAATGTCGTAGAATGCTAGTCGAGTAACTCTCCCTGGAGTCCTGAGACAGCCGGGCTGTAGCGTTCCCAGTCGGATTGCAGGAAGTGACTTTTTTACCAGGCAAGTCTGGTACCAATTTTCCGACACCGGAGGGATGAGAGGCTTGGCTGGTCCGGAGCGGAATCGAATCAGCACGATGCTCATGATGACGGACATCACTGCCAGTGTCCTATTTCCCTTCCACCCCTAAACTCCTTGCAACACGTGCAAGAATCTTCTAGCGCAATATATAAATCTTGTATCCTAACACATGTATGCGTGGATGTTATCAATTCGTATTTTCAAAAGAAAAACGCACAGAATCTCACCACACTTCCATCGTTCATTCTAAATCGGAAAGATCAGTAAGAAAGCATAAAAAATTCCTCTATCAGAATTTAAGGAGGTGGATAGTGGCGTGAATATTGCAGTACTAAGTTCCCACTTTACTGTAACATAATTTAAACTATTACAAATGAAGATACTGGTAATATTATTCCAATTTTTTATAATGCTCTATCAGGAGCCTTCGACTTTCAAACCGAATCGGCACCGTCTTCTTGACAACTTCGAGGACACAAAGAAGAGGCAACAAGACGATGACCAGGTGAGATCAATTAGTCGTCAGTGCTAGTTTCTGCAAACCACATCTTGCTTCCTCCATCCAAGTTCGTGAACGTTAGCATTATTTCTCTTCCTATTTGATCTAACCTATAAGAACTGCATTGTAAACAAAAAATTGCGGAAATGTGCCAGAATTCCGCTGAGACTATAAGCCGACACTCAGTAAGTTCATATGTGATGGATTTGATTAAATAGCCAAGGATATTAGTGGATTATCAAGTTGCAAAGAAAAATTTAACGAATGTGATTAACACATTCGTAACCATATCTATCAATGTCAGAAAAAAGGGCACGTGTGGCTCAGTGGTCGATGGCGCTCTGCAACACACACGTGGGATTGTCCCCGCATCCGCGGCTTCCATCACTGAGGAGTCGACAAATTGGTGCCAGACTTGTCTGTGAGGATAGCAGTACTGACTCGGTACATCGGTAGGCCACCGCGAGTCACTGTGAAGTCCAGATATGCATTCAATCACCTCCAACGATGCTTAATGAAGTCGAATGCATGGTGCATCTCTCAGGGATTGTTGATCAACGCCGAGAGCTTTATTTTTATTTACTTCATATGTACATACTAATATTACCCTTCATCCATCTATCTATTGATGTCAATGCACGTATAGCGGAAAGAAAATACTCCTCTAAGTAAAGTCTACCTCAGCTCACATCAGCTTTATTCATTGAAACAAATATAATTGACGTCTAAGGATATTTGCTAACAAGACACAAGTCTTTCTACTTTAGTACGATGAAATTTTGGATACTTGTAGGGCCCGTATTCACTAGTTGTGCGAGCGCCAGTACAATCTCCTCCATTTCTTTTCCTTTTTTGGAGACTTGTCGGTTGAACGATTGTGGTTCCCTGGGGTCCCGTTGTCAGTCTGGCCAAGGCGTGCCGCGAGTCGTCACCAGCACAGGCAGTCGCAGCTCTTGTGGATCAGAGGAAGATTTGCCACCGTGTGACCAGATTGGTACCAGGACAGCGGACGTTCCTGGTAGTGGTTTACGCTCAGCTAGGCTGCCTGATGGAAAACTCCGAAAAACCCAACCTTGCTTTGTTGGATTCAACACCATGACATGACGATTCTGGATAAAAATAAATACTCCCTTAAGGCAATAAGACAAATAATCTTCTACAAGTTTGCTTGGTCTTCAACGTATTTTATTTATTAAGGAAACAAAATAATTGCGAATGTGTTGACACTATTAAAACCATATTTATCTTAGCGAATTCCGAAAATTTCGAAAAAAAAAAAGGCTGCAACATACTGAAGGTTTTATCAATCTTACAACGACTGTTTCAGTCAACTCCCACAAATCTCTTGTTGATACCGCCTCATATCTCATCAATGGACTTTCTGCTACGCAATATTGAAGTGTACTCCAGTGTCGAAGTTGAATAAAAAAAATATGAACCTTCTCTCCTTTGTCATATGTTACCTGTTCGCATCAAGTTCAATAAAATTTTATCTATCACCATCATATTATGTCACTTATAACAGAGATTTTTGGATTTTATTTCTCGGGCATGTGTACCTGTCGGTTTCCATTAAACTCTCAATTACAACGGCTCCACAGAACTTCATGGCTAGAGTTAGTTTTGAGTTAAAAAAGTCCCATTTTTGGAAATATACACTTTATATACAGAAGCAGTTTAATTTGTAGTACAACTGTAAACACTGGCTTAAGAAACATTCTTAACTGAACCGGTTAATGTTGGAATCACCGTCCGTTCCCAACAGAGGAGCAATTTCGTCCAGTGCAAAATCTGGAACATTTCTTCAAATCAGTCGGCATTCCTAACCGTATATTCTCATTCTATTCGAATTTTTAAACAACAAAAAGCAGTAGTTCCGAAAAACCGTTTAACCAAATATTTTGTAAAAACACGTCACTAGTCCGAAAATGATCTCTGTCAACCATAACGTTTCTTATCATTTATAATGAACGAGATTTAAACTTGAAGTGGAAGACACAAGGTGACGAAAAATCAGACCTTAAAACTTACCCATCGCTTCGGCAAACCCTTCCAGAGAGTTCAGTGTTGCGATTTCATCATCGAATTTCTTCACAAATGTTGACGTTTTATGTAAGGTTTCCAATATATGTGTTTGAAGCCATTCAAGACGCTCATCAGAATCAATCTATTAATGAGACTACATTATAAGTCGTAAATTTGTTAGTTAATTGGAGTAAGCAGCACTATTTATTAGTGCATAGTCGCCTCCAACAAATAAACTCCATGTCCACTCTGGGAAAGCCTGGCAAGCTACGCATGAGCATAGCCAGCCAACACGTTTAGAACCCAGCAAACTATACGTGGGTAACAAAATACTAAACACAGTAAAAAAAAAAAACGGGCCTCATTCCCCTGACCCCGAAAGAGCCCCTATTCGGCAGCGATGGGTAGAACGAATACGGAGAGGCTGCTTAAATCTCAGAACCAGTGGAAGCGGCCTGGTTCACGAAGAACTAAGGTGACGATCTGTAGCTGCTATGCACGTACACTTGCATCCGAGTCCTTGATATAATACTTGCTCATGCAAACAAGAAGGACAATGTACGACGTCATTGGCCTGTCCGAAACGAGAAGACGGCAGCCTTTCAACACCGTCTATGACACCGGAGAAGAACTGTTCCTCAGAACATGCGACAGTATGTCAGCGGTGTTGGCATTCTCGTCAACACGATTTTGTCCATGAACATCGATTCATTCGAGCAACTAAGAACGCATATCCTACGTTTACGGTTGAGAAGACGTGGAGCAATTCCGACTTTGACAATTTTCGTCGTTTACGCGCAGAGATCAAACTATGACGAAGGAGAAGTCGAAACGTCCTTACCACCACACTCCAGAACGTCATGCGAATAATGGAATGGAATAATATGGGAGTGAAAATCGATGGTCGGCAGTTACACCATCTTCGCTTTGCTGATGAAATCGTCCTTATAACACCAAACATTAGCCAAGTAGAACGTATGCTTGACGACTTTGATAAAACCTATGGAAAGATTGGTCTTCGACTAAACCTCACAAAAACGATGTTCATGAAAAACGGACTGGTTTCGCATGCCCCATTCAAGCTCAACGGAACGAGTATCTCTGAATGCTCCAGTTGTCTGTCTAGGTCGGGGAATCAATATGCTGAACGACTTGGCACCAGATCTGAGCAGAAGGGAACGAGCGGCTTGGGGAGCTTTCAAGAACATTGAGGATGTAGTCAAGAGGACAAAGAACACCCGAATCGGTGCCCATATTTTCGACTCAACGCTACATCCTGCGCTAATGTATGCCTCAAAAACCTGGTCGTTGCGTAAGCAGGATGAAAGATTACCCAGCGTTATTGAACATGCAGTCGAAACGATTCTAGGAGCGTCCTGTTTCACTCAAGCAAGGGAAGGGATCCGAAGCTCCGACCTGCGTCAATGATCAAAAATCAAAGATACTGTTCTGTACGCCAAACAAAACAGTCGAAGATAAGGTGGACCGGACACGTAATGCGTATGAATGACAACCGATGGACAAGAGCCGTTAGTGACTGGATTCCTCGGAATGTCAAACGTACTGCAGGAAGACCACCGACCCGATGGTCAGTTCTTCACGAAGAGCATTGAAGAAAGCTATAATGTTCGACGAGTCCCTAGAGCGAGTAGAACCCACTGGGCTACTCTTGCACGCGACAGGGAAAAATGGAAGATTTACTGGCGCCCGCATGAGTCACTCGACGATCGACGAGACTACGGGTGACAGGTAATCAAACAGAAGTTCCTGGTTTTTTTTTTTTTATTAAAACAACTCTTAAAGGAGAAGGAACTCTCCATCTAACAATCGAATATCTGGCAAAAGAAGTGAAACAAGACATATTACAAAAAGGATAACCCAACCAGCCGTAATTCATAGATTATAGTTGTATAGTTGTTATATTTCAGAAAATTTTCGAAATATTAGTACACTCACGGGTATCACGTCACGAAAATATCGGTCGACGAATGCCCAGGTCAAACACATTGGTCGAAGGGATTCCCATGTTGTATCATGACTCTCTGTAGTAAAATCGGCAACAGCTGCTCGTAGCACCTGCATAGAATTATAGGCTACTGGGTAGCTATTTAGCTTACAGACATAAACATTCAGAATCAGAAAGATAAAAGAATGTGTAAATGGAAACTTGGTCTGCGTATGGATATTTACTTTTCTTGACAGAAGAGTAGATAAAAGAAGATAAAGCTCTCAGCGTTGGTCAATACCTGAGTGATGCGCTATGCATTCGACTTTATCAAGCACCGTTTGCAGGTGATTGGATGCATATTTGGCCTCTAAAATCACTCGCGGTGGCATACCGATGTATCGAGCCAGTGCTGCTATCCTTCCAGACAAATCGGGTACCAATTTTCCGATCACGGAGGAATGGATGGCTTGGTGAGCCATTGGCGCGGGGATCGATTCCACGTGTGTATTCCAGGGCGCCTCCGAGCACTGCGGCACAAGCGCCAAAGAAGACAAGATAAGACGATTTAATGGTATGGTGAATTTTAACCTGAACTTGATTTATTTCTCTAACTCACAACTGTGGGGCGACAATTTGTGTCCTCATGGTAGCGAAGAGCATTCTGCAGCTATTTCATATAGGTTTGTAGTCCTATATTCTTGAGATTACGAAAATTTGGAATAGACTACGAGTTAGCAATAACCTTCTGTGGCAGTGGAAACCTGGTTCCGAGTTCGTTAGGTCTCCTAACTCACTCTTCACCTGGATTCATTGATCGAATTTAATTAACGATTATCTCGATACCTCTACCAACTACTTCTTCCGTTTTTCTACATATTACAATCATGTAGTCATCCCTGCTTCGGTTTACAGTTGCAAATATTCATAAATATGATACAAAGAAACTACTCTTTTGCAATAGGTGGAAATTTTGCCAAGATTGTTAATGTGTCTCCATTCCTCGATATCCAACATCTCGCTTTAGGAATATATGATAGCAATCGCTAGATAATAATATTCCCACCTAACGTAGAGTTAGATCTAAACTTTAAATTGACATAGTACAAGGTTGCACACTTATTTCAAATATAGTTTCTTCCGGTCCTTTTTTTAATTCACAACCTTAAAAAACCCATCTTCACGTCTAAATATGAGAGACAGTTGTACTTCAAGACATATGCAGGCACTCATCGGCAGCCTGTGATCTTTGTCTAGGTCAGTGTCATAGAAGGGAGAGACCAAGGAAACGAAATATAAAATAATTTATGGATTGGGATAAGATTGCGGCATCGAGATGACTCTCTATCACGTACAGAATCCTCCCTACCTAGTTAAACAAGTCATAGTTCAACGCACTAGTTGTATAATTCTTCTATTTCGCATTTATGATGCAAAAATTCATTCACTGCTGTATTCTACCCTGCGCTTGCATGATACAAATAAACCCTCGTCCAAGTTTCTGATTATTAAGGTTTACTCTAGTTCTTGATTATTACCCAATTTTAAGGAACAAGCTATGAATGTAACAATCGGGTCTAGCGTGGCAAGTTGAGAGTAACCACAATATACAAAAAACCCTGTTATCATATAGCATTCAGATCCAATGGAGAAAATCAACTCGTGGTAGTTATACTCAGAACCAGAAGTCATGGGCACATCTGCCGTCTATAGCCTACAGTTCTATTGCAGTACATCAACACTCCGATTTCTATTTCTCAACACTTACAGCTACTCAGACGTTAATACGTAGTATCTGTATAAAAGAAAATTTTCAACTAATTAACACCACAATAGATCCACCCTCGAGAGTCGAGCGTATATGCAACAACGAATAATCAACTAAGCAGTTCATACACTACTCTACTTCATTTTGTTAACTGCCAGTAAATCTCCTGCTGAATTGCTGTTGTAGGAACAAGTTGGTACAATATTATTCGCAAAAGAACCTATTGACTATTCAGTCATTAAAACGTTAGAAAACACATACGTCAATTCGCTGTTCAAGCCAGTTTTGGAGTGTCAGCTCGGTTATCAGGAAGGAAACAACACGATGACGAGCATTAGGAGTCGGCAGGTCGTCAGGCGGAAGAGAAAGCGCCAGAAGATGCAGGATGGCCAGATACTGTGCGTTAGACTCCCGCCCACCACCATGAGATGCTTCGGAAAACGATCTTGAACAAATAAGTGATTTTAACACGTAGTTCTAACGGGATACTAGTACAGTCAAGATGAATATTTGGTTAGACAACAATAGTCTAACTCTCAGCTTTTTTTTCTTACAATAAATTTGTCTAAGAAACAACTTTATAATGGCCCTAAGTCTTGACTAATGTACAATGTATGTAATCGTAACAACGTGACAATGTATAAATCGTGAAAATACCTGAAGTATATAAATTTATCAATGAGTTCACAAATATCGACGAAGACGACCGATCTACATAGCGGTAGTACGGCAGCGACCATTTCGAGATCAACTTGATACCTTAACAAAAGATTAGATTAGATTGCGCAGAAAACGTGGACACTATCAGGTCATATTACATCTTAAATTTTACTTTCAACACATTCGCAATGAAGATAGTTCTTTGACAAATGTCGACAATTTTACAATAACTGCAACAATTGAAATACTGAACACTTGACAGACTCAAAAAGCCGACTGTGATCGACCGCACTAAATATGAGGACAGTTTCTCTAAAACACTATTATAATCTTAAGTTGCTGAACACTGCAGTTCAAGAAGAGCTGAGAAAGATAACTGGAATCTTTTAAAATCTAATGGAAAACGTAAGCAGTATTTTTGCCACTTTACTGTTCGAAATATGATCGCTGAAGCAGAAAAATGAAAAAAGCGAAAACGAAGCGAAAAACGTTTTGTGTGCTTGAAAAATTCATGAATTCATCGCTATAAAAAACAGTAGTTGTTTCCCGTTGACAAATAACTCTAAGCAAAACCATTAGCATTCAACATGTCATCAGTGGGAAAATGAAGCAGAGAACCAAGTTAGGATCGAATCCGTATTCGAGTAGGATCACTTCTATGGGCTACAGCTGCAAAACAAAGAAAAGAATAGAGGCACTGGAACACATACGAATATGGACAATGGTTATCTACGTATATAAGTAAGCTGTTTCAAATTTGACTCTTAAGGCAGAGGTGAAAAGCAGAAAAAACTGTGCTTTTTGTACGAATTCAAATTTGGATTTGCACAGAGGAGATGAAAGAACCGCGAATTACTGTTCCCGAAATTTTCAAGAAACCAACTTTTATTAACTTCAGTTTGGATAATCAGTATCCTTCTATGTGAATAAATTAAAGTAAAGCCGTTACAGACGTTTTTGTGGTTACCTCGAAACCTTCAGTGCCCCAACGATTCCAACCGCAGTTATATTTTATAACCACTCTGTGTTAGTTTATCAACACTACAAAACATTGTTTCCGAACACCTTAGAAGAATTCGGAAATCATAAAGCTAGGTAAATGTGTGACAGCTTCCAAGACCGACATTCGGTTTACCTCAACGCTAACCAGTAAATGCTACAGAAAGATGTGTTATGCAGAAATAGACAAATAAATCTTAACCGTTTTATTTACTGCCCACTCTTTTTAACAGCGGGGTATGTTGCGAAATATAACTTCAATGATGCTGAGATATTGGCAAAAATTCCGAACCGCAAGTGTCTGCGGTGAGGAACGAACGCGCAATTGTCCTTTCCGGGGAGTAACGCGTTCACCACCACACCATGCGAGTCCTTCGTTTCACCTGTCTCTCAGCTAGTTCCCCGGAAAGGACAATAGTGCGTTCGTTTACCACCACAGACACCTGCGGTCCGGAGTTTTGCCAATATCTCAGCACCATTGAAGACAAATAAATGTTATACTAACAACGTAATGACAACTCATAAACAACCCAGAAACTAGAAAAATAGATTCTAGACGAGTTAAAAGACCAGCAAAAATCTCGTCGCTACGACATCTGTTCTGTGCTTCTTCTGTGCGGAAAAGCTACGCGCTTCTCAAAATTGTATTCTGAATCTGACTTCCGATAAAGAATCGCCTCAACACACCAATCGACGACGTTGTGCACAATAGTTGGATGAAAATAAAGCATTTAAAAATTCCCCAAAGCAAAATCTAAAACAAAGTAAGGATATGGTGTTTAATGACCCAAAATGCGATAACCCACTACAATTTCTAAAACCTGTAAAAGAAAATTTCAAAAGACACGGCAGACAATCACTTTTTCTTAATGGAATGAGCGAAGGAGCGGCAATGTGTACCACAATCAGTGAAAACTCGAGAGGTGTCAACTCTGTTGTAGAAAGTCTGACCAAGTGATGCAATACGGATACTAATTTGAGCAAACTGAATTCCAAACCCTGCCTCATCTACCATATCCTTTCTAGCTCCCTCTAATCGATTACCACACAAATATTTCACTGACGACATTTCCTTGATAAATCAAAAACAAAACAACATAGTACCGGTTCAAAGCAGTAGTCCAGTCAGCTTCACTTGCCAATCCACTTGCTATTGGTGTAAGTGCGTTACATTTTGCACCAGCATTATGAAGTAATGCCTGGAAACATATACATTTCTCCAAAAATAACTCAAAAACTTTATTTAAACTGAGAATCTTAGCTGAAACGAAACGCACTGAAAACAACAATGTCACAGCAAACCCTTTACATTGAAAAAAATGAATTTGTTTATTCGTATTTTTGTTGAGCAAACGCGAGGTGTTACTATTCTTTGTTCACGATTAAGCTGACGTTTCGGCGGATTTCGCCTTCTTCAGAGCCGCTTTCTATGAGGTTTCCACTAAGTATGTCACGTAGAGACCAACCGTACAGAAATCACGTGGAAGTATAATGTGCCAATAAATAATGTAAATTTAATGTGAATGTGAAAATGTGAATGTGAATTTACATAATGAATGATGTGAATTTGTTTAAGTAGCTAACTCACTTTTGACCATTCATCCGTATTACGCGCACCACCAGTCCTTCTGATTGCATTCTGATGACAATCAATATGCACCATTACCATTTGACTTACAGTAGCTAATTGAGGAATTCGAGACTCACTCGGCAACGGCGATGCAAATGAATACCTGAAACAAAGCAAAAGCCACTATTTAAGAAATAGAATATAGAGCAACGAAATTTGCTTACGCAGCAGATACTCGTGTTCCTTGGAATAACGGTTCACGACAAATGCAACAAGAAGCAAGTGGGTCCACCACTCCTTCCAAAGGTGGTTCGTTGGCTATTCGCCTGTGAGCTACCTATAACATATGGAGATTTAACGCAACATACTTCTTTCGAAACAAAAATTTAACTTCTTTTCGCACAATTAAAATGGAATCTCGGTTTAAAACAGATTCTGCAAGCAACGATAAATGGAAGTCTACCAACTGTGGGAAATCAATAACAAGAATATCAAATAAAAGTAACAGAAAAAATGACACGAATTTGTTAACAGTACTGTTATTCTAAAATAGCTAATGTTTCGGGGACTTCGGCACCATTTCTATACGTACATCCTTCACCTCATGTAGACTCGGTGTGAATATCATTTACTAAATTGGACGACATAAAAGGCTTAAGAGAAAACCAGCTGATCCACCGCTTGCTGTAATTACATCTCACGTAAAATTTAACTACTGTGATCATGAAGCAATCACTACTAAAAAAAAAGACCAAACAGTAACGGACAACAAGAACCTCTGAAATCGACGTCCAAATTGTCATCGACAAGGTGCGTACTAATTCTTGCAGTCTGAGAGTGATTTTCTTAAAATTTGTCACGTAAGCCTTGCAATTACAAATATCGATTACGCATTTCGGACACCATCACATTCCGCTCAGTAAAATCCTGTGCTCGAAATACGAGCTTCCACAGAAATCAAAACTCATAAACCACTCTGCGTACGTATAAAAGAACACCTAGCCGGCAAACGTAAGCTAAGTACTCCACTAGGTACGCATAGGACGCAGAAACATAATGGAGAAGATTTTGAAGTAAGGGTTACGATCCTCGCGCAAGAATCGAGAACACAAGCGCGCAAAACTCTAGAGGCATTCCGGATTAATTCCAAGAATCCGAAAATGAACCGCAGGGAGGAATGCCTCGTTATCACGCGTGATATTGGACAGTATATAAACCGGTTATTCTGATGGGAGGGGCACATTACGCTTCCATGTAAACTCTGTGCGGTTGGTCTCCACGCAACATACTCAGTGGAAGACTCATAGAAAGCGGTGAGTGTGCAGAGCTATGCTAAATGTGATTGAAATCTTGGTTTAGAGTTTTCTCTGTTCGGTTATGGAGGTGTTTGGCCGAGTGGATTGCTGTCAACTTGACCTTTCCAGGCTCTGAGGAAGGCGAAATCCGCCGAAACGTCAGTTTGCGCATAAATAAAGAAATAAAATAGCACCTCGTGCTTGCTGAACAGAAGTAGAAAGATATATTCAAAATTCATAGTTTTAAAAAATAAGAAGTACATCGTGGTAGATGAAGAGGAAGATTTGTACCTCATTAGTAAAGACCTGCAGATTCTAATTGTTTGGCTTCAGCTAATAAAGTTCACTACCGGCTGCAACATGATGGCTAAAAGTTTAAAGTGGCGATTGCTGACTCCTCAATAGTTGCCGACAATTTTCTGATTGAAATATTTGTGAATTCAGGACTGGCCGAAGTTATACAAGATTGTTTCACTTAGCGCTCTACGTCACCTATACCTCGTAGACTCTTATACTAGCTCAATTAAATGAAAGAAAAAGGATAAAGCCCGCGGCATTGATCAATCCCAGAGGGATCCCCCATGCATTAGGCTTCACCAAGCATCGTTGAGGTGATTGAATGCATATGCTTACCTTTACAATGACTCGCGGTGGCCTGCCAATGGATTGAGCCAGTCGTGCTATCTTCCCAGACAAGCACGGTACCAATTCGCCGACCCCGGAGGGATGGAGTACTTGATGAGTCTGAAGCGCGGGAATCGATCCCAAGTGTACTGCAGGGTCCCTCCGACCACTGCGTCACACGCGCCCACCAAATTCAATTGAACTCTTTACATTTTTCAGTACGAGTCGGCAGTCTATACGAAAACATACTCCAGATCGTCTTGGTGACCTGCTCAACAAATTTCAGCTTGTTAAACTATTTAACTGCTCAAAATGCTCATAGGCTCCAAAAAGAGAATTTTACAACTGTGGAATACCTGAGTCCAAGTAAGGTAGCAAAAATGTGTCGCTACTCAATCAGTAAGGGTCACTACAAACTGATATATGTATGACACACGTATTGTTACACGTAGCCGTTAATGCGTTAAAAAAATTAGTGTTTTGGACATATACAACCATTAGTTACGACGGCCTGAAGAGAACACTACTTGTTTCTTTTCAACTTTCGACATCAACATGCAGACATTCGACACTCTATGAGCATACGTGAATATATAATCAAACCGCAGATATTTGCACACGAATCATAAGCTGCAACACTTTCTGTCATATTTCTGCGAAATCTCTCTTTCGCCCAAGTATCACTAATCTCGGTGTTCAACAAAAACCGCTTATGAGATGGACCAGCAGTCGTAGAGACATCCTTCCACCTTCATCACCCATATTCATATTAACTATTCAGCAACTCGAGCGGACACCACCAAAATCTACACTGGATCCTGTCGCGTACCACTTAGGTTCAGTGGGCTGCGTTTGCCCACTGAACAATACTGATGTACAACAGGGTCCAATGTAAAGAAGACAAAGAGCAATACCAAAAACATGACCTTTTTTTGATACAAAGCCTTTCATTTTTACCCTTCCCGGCGATATGGTACTCACATGTAAAACTCATCAAGATAACCGTCTTGGCATAGGTTTGATATTGTCGGACCCCTAGATGCAAATATAGAATTCAACGTGGAAGTGGACCATACTGCACACCTACAAAATAATTTAGAATACCGACATCCAACTTTAAGGATTCTCCAACTCGGATCTTTCTGGACTGCCACGCCTTCGTGAGCAAGTGGATTCCACATCGAGAACGAAGTACTTACTTACTTGATACTTGAACGGTCCGATCCTCGGACCCCAGCATAATCACCACTTTTCGGAGATTTGCTGGGTAAGCCACTGTGGTTCCCTGAAGTCCCAAGGTCAGCCTGGCGAAAGTCTGCCCCAGGTCTTCACCACCACAGGCAGTCGCAGCAGTTGTGGATCAGAGGGAGATTTGCCACCATGCGACCTTCATGCCAGGACGATGGCGGATCCTGGTATTGGTTTACTCTTAGCTAGGCTTCGTGATGGAAACGCTGGACTCTCTCAGCTTGGGAGACCCTGGAAGGGGATGAATCTCCCGCTGTACATCGCAGCACGACACCGGAAAACACCTCCCAGCCACGATAAGACGCTAGAACGGTTGGAATGATCCTTCTGCGATAGCCGCGCAAATTCCATAGCAACAAGCTGTTGATGCACTCATGCATCTTATATTCCGGAAACGATCATCATCATCCAAAATCAATTGGGAGATCGGGCCCAGTCTGTTTACCTTTATGTTTTCTTATCGAACAAAATTATACACATATCTCTAGTAGAAAACTGTTCTTTAAAGACGGAGATCTAGTGAAAACATACAAGCATGAGTGCCTAAGAGCATGTAAATTGTTTTGACAGGAAGTTTTCCATTTTCCTTACTTTCTACTGTCAAGTGTTGTTTTCTTTTCTTCAATCTTATCTACGTATCTACTGGATAGTTCTTTTTTTCTAATTAAACAACGGTTAGATATGCTGGCAAAAGTACTACATGAAAAATTAAGAATTTCTGCAATCAATTAGATATTTAGGCATAACCAGCGAACCAAAACCTAAAAAAGCACAAGAATAAACAAAAACAATCCTATCTCACCTTCACTTCACCGGACTTCCCCACCTGCATACCCATTTCCCGTAACTGCTTATTGCGCATGGCCATAGCCATTTGACGTTTCTTTTGTCGAGTCTCTTGGCGAACATTTTCGATTTGCGCGGCTACCTGGAATAAGATTTGTTTACTACGATATCATTTCTTGTCATTATCTTGGATACAGCAAACCTCTTTATTTTCTCTTAGTGCTTCTACAACATTTTCAGCCATTGTTCCTATTGAATTGTCCGAAGCAACCTAAACATAATCACAATAACTAGTAAATTAGCCGTTATTCGACCGCTTGCGGGAGGGGAAACTCAAGCTGCTTAACACTGCTCTATTACGCCCAGTTTTTTTTTTGTTGTGGCAAGATGTGTTGAGATCATATTTCCACAAAAATAACCGCGTTCCTTACGCTATACTTTCGCTCAATAAATCAACTCTCACACGCATTTTTGAGCGCAATTTTGTGGCCTTCATGTTCTACGTATCTTACCTGTTCTTAAGTGTATCTTGCAATGCTCTTGTTCTGCAATTCTGGAACAGATTAAATGCTTATGTGGGTTGGATATATTTCAAAAACGTGCAGCGATCTCATCTGGTCATTTACTGGGACGTTTAGAGTGCCCAAAAGTGGTCTGTTATAGCGCTATGCATTTTCATATTCAATGGCAGCTCTAGGATTGGTGGCAGCAAAACAAACCTTTGAAAGAAAGGTGAACCAAAAGTGGGATTATGGTCTGTACCCCTATCGTGCAAAGGTCTGTCCTAAAAATGAGTCAGAAAACTGTTCAAACAATGGTGTTAAGAAGGAAGGAAGAATTTGTTTTACCTGTTCGAGGCGATGAAGTATATGCAGTGTTTTCTCTGCTAAAGCTCGTTGACTAGCTTCATGCGAGCGAGCCATTCCGTGCATAAACGATAACATCTATATAAGTAGACTTCTAGCAGATCACACTTCACTAATTCTCAATTTCGTTAAGTTCATTTTCATTCCTTCCTTAAATTCCAAATTTTATGCTATTTTTTCCCACCAGTTTAAGCGACGGTCGAAGAAGGAATCCTTTCCATTCTTGTGATTCGGTGGCAGAATAAAGAGGTGGATGGTTAGAAACGAGATGTGAGCATGCCTAAACAAATGCACACCTGCCATATTATTGTTTTTACATTGGAAATTGAATAGTTGGATGAAATTTAACGTTTCTGAAATTAATTGTTTCAACAAAGTTAACATTTTAGAAAATAACCGCCATGCCACATGAGATTATTTTGTCAAACTGTGAAGCGCTGACGGTAGCGACTATGCAGGTATTAAAAAGCTAATTCGCTAACAAAAGACTCCTAAAAGATCATATTCCAAAATGATTATAGTATTGGTCAATGAATAGGAAAGATCTAATAAAAGCATAAGAAGTGCAAACCTTAAAGACTACTCCGCTATCCAATATCAACTGTTTCAGCTTTGCACCTTCAGCAGAGTTGAGAATGCTTGCAGTCACTTCGCACAACCGTTCTACTGCAGTAACTCGTTCGTTTCGTAATGAAACATCACTTGAAAATTCACGGTTGTTGAAGATAAGCACTGGATATGGAAGACAGACTTCATCTTCCTACTTTGTTTCGTCAATTTCCTTCCACTGGCATGTTTTTAAATACATCGAGATTAGCGCCTTTTCAGCTTCCTCATTTCCAAGCACGAGGTTACCGATCACACGAGAAACTTGGGAGCAAAACTTATTGATACTCTCTGAGCCTGAACATTTCAACTGTAAATGTGTTGTTTAAGAACAATGGAATAATTAAGAACAATACCAGATTCAGGAGTCGCCATAACAAAAGAAAGAAGCCACTCAGCATCCTCTTTGGAGATACCGGTGAGCACCTTAAAAAGACACCTTTAGACAAACTTATACGAACAAAAATACCAATTACTTTAGCAACAAGCAAAAAAACTTGCCTGATGTACAGCTGGATCACCAACAATAGCAGAAATCATTTGAAGATATTCTAGTCCTATTTGAACAACACCTTCATCGGTGGAGCGTAGAGACACGCAAGCATGAAGCACCTAAAGAGCCAAATATAAAACAGCAAAGTACCAAAATATGCGGCAAAACCACATTAAAATCGAAAAATAAAAAAACCTAGACTGAAGTAACAAAAAGTGTTAAGTGGGTCAAGAAACCTAAACAGGCTTCGAGATCACCTTCATAAATGAGTTAATCGCGTCGGAAGACACTAGATCTCTCCGTCCCTGCTCCGTTTTCACACATAGTTCAAACAATTTCCGTAATTGACAAAGAAGGAACCTAGACATGAATAATTAGTTCAAAATAAAAGCAGCTAAAAAACAAAGGAATAAGGAAATAACCAAATTCAAAACGAATCTGAGCAAAGCAAATTTTTGTCACCGCTGTAGAAACTTCTACATTCACCTGCCAGCGGTTCCAGTGTCGATCACATCGAGCTTTCGTAGAGCCCGACTGAGGCCACCACATTGGGTAAGTGCACCAGTAAGTGGAGAAAGTGATTCGTGCTGTTCAGCTTCCACTAAATAATAAGTCAGAAGTTCTACAATTTAAGTCTACATTACTTTCAAATAACTGGAACAGTTTTGTAAAACAGCTGTCGGAAGCACATTCTATCTCAAAGCGCCGAAAGCTAAGTGTGGTCATGTTCTCACCAAAAAATGGTAAATCCAAAGGAGGCTCGTAAAAAAAACCGCACAGCACTCTTCCTGTACATCAGAGGGAAATCACAAAGTGTTTGGACGTCATGAAGACTAAATTTTTAGTTTCAATGATGCTGAGATATTTGCAAAACTCCGGACCGCAGATGTATGAGGTGGGGAACGAACTCGCCACTGTCCTTTCCGGGGAGTAGCGCGTTCACCACCACACCACGCGGGTCCTTCGTTTCGCGTGTCTCTCAGCTAGTTTTATCGATCTTTTGCCATCAGCAAACACCCGTTAGCGAGACTGATCTGGGGAACCCAAATCGGCAGCGAACCCAGTTAAGCTGAGGCCGTAGTTATAATCACAATTTTAACTCATTATTTATTGCCTACTCTTATTAACGGTAGGGCAAAAGATCTATAGAACAAGCTGAGAGACAGGCGAAACGAAGGACCCGCGTGGTGTGGTGGTGAACGCGCTACTCCCCGGAAAGGACAGTGGCGAGTTCGTTCCCCACCTCATACATCTGCGGTCCGGAGTTTTGCAAAAATCTCAGCACCATTGAAGTTATATTTCACAATGTATACCTTGTCGTTAAAAAGAGTGGGCAGTAAATAATACGTTAAAATTGTAAATTTTTAGTATCACTAGCAGTACATCTTCGATGAATACCGTGATTGAAAATGTAAGAAGTGATTAAAGATGCAACACTGTTAAGGTTCTCTAAAATTATAAGATACTCAACAAATCTAACTATTAGCAACTCTTGTTCCTTACATTGCCTAATATCGCATATTGTGTGGACCACCAATTTCATACGATTCGTTTAATCACACCTATTATCCACAAAGTACGTCATATTTTGGTGCAGTTTCGGTTGTTGCTTGAAGATTTTTGGTCTTCCTTATGAATGTCGTTGAGTGCTGATTGACATAGGTGATTCATCATGGAATCCTGGGACAGCCGTGATAGGCCGGTTCCACGTGGATTAGTTAGCAGGTAGCAAATAAGTTTGGTACCAATTCCCTGCCTTGACAAAATTGATTGGCCTGTTGGCCTACTATGAAGTCGAGCGATGATATTTTACGTACTGAAGGTATCACCACTTATAATAATACTATTAATACCCCCCCCCTCCCCACAACTAACAATATGAGAATTTGGAACTAGTTGATCTGACTGATGATTTATCTCACGTTATCCTATAAGTGATATCTCCAGGAAAACTTCGTTCGATACCTCCATCAGTTTCACCGAGAGAAGATACGAATGTCTCCACTGCATCTCCGAGCAAACCTCGCATCCGATAGATGATGGTCATAGGTTGGCCAGGATTGGTCCTCTTCCACAATTTATCGTAAACAGCACGTACAGGAAGGGCAAGAGAAATTATCTGATTGTTTACCAGCAGCTGAAAGTAGTGAGGCAAGTTAAAGAACTGACCAATTCATTCGTTCGGCATAAAAGAGCATGTCTCTTGAAGGATCAAAAAGTATAAAATTCCGCAACTAATTTATAATAAAGGGACATGGAGAAAATCAATAACATCGTGACATAGGCCAACGTTGGACTTAATGTAAATGAAAATTCGATTCACCTCATGGCAAGCTAAGAAGTTTTATCAAAGAAGAAAACTCAAACATGCCGAAACCAACTTCCATTCCATTATCGTCTTCCATAAGTGCTATCATTTCGGTGTCACGACAAATCTTATTTTTGATATCTCGCATCAAGGGACCGAGGCCAACATCCGTGGACTACAGAAGTAATACTGATTAATTTAACCATAACAAATTCTCATTCGTTTCCTAGAGTAAGTACAAACTTTGTAAGGGTTTCCTGTCATCCTTCCTTGTAGGAAATCCTCTTGCGCAGGATCCTTTTCGATCTGAATGTGAAAATCCTCTTCCTCCTTCTGTTCAGGATTAAGAATATCCAGTATGACTGATACGATATGTGCCTGTAAGGTGCCAAGATACCGACTTTAACAAATGCTTTCATGCTTGGGGAATATACCTGAGTATTCAAGTCATCTACAGTATCCAGCGATTGCACAGCAGCTCGCATCAGCATTAGTGGATCTTTGGCAGAAATACGGCGAAGAAGACGTTCCAGTGATGAACGGGACGCTTCAATAGCTCGGGTTTTTCGAAGTAGAACCCTCAAGTATATCATTGATTACTTGAACGTACTATACCACCTTTCGAAAATAAAAACAAAGATAAAAAAAATTTTTAGATGAAAAGTGCATGGTGAGAACAGCTAAACAATTTCGACGCAGTATAACAATACCGATAACACTCATACAAACCTTTTCAAGAAAATCGTGGATTGGAACAATGGTACAAGGATATGGTCCCTAGCTGCTTTCAGTTCGAGTGCTTCAACACCACTTCCAGTTAGTAAGAGACACAACAGTTCTAAGAACATCAACGACTTGCGTGATTTAACAAGTTAACAGGAGAATTCAATCATGTTAAATCAATTACCTACATAACTGCGCAAAAGTATTCCAAACGAGTGATCCATACTGGTCTCTTGTTTTTCTTCATCATGAATGCGTTTACATTCCTGCAACAAAAAGTATCCTATATTCTAAAAAATTTGCAGAAAAGCGACCACAGAGTCAATAAAAATAAAATTTGTAGGAGGAAATGCAAACTTCATAAGAATGAAATTAACGAATACATCTTATGTTAAAGCAGTTATCGATCAGATCACTACCTTGTAAATCACTTTAATCAACCATATATGCAATCCTTCCAAGTAAAGGCGTGCTTTTATGCTCGATGTTCCTCCAATTATAGCATGCGCAGCACGGAAGAAATGGTCCGTCATTGAGGGGAGTACAACAGATGCTAGAGGAAGACCACGTAGGAGGACAGATGCTGCAGTCCCGAGGTGGCCCTGAGAAAAAGTTTCTGCTATGCGATCATTTCCCTCAATGCAAATGGAAAATAAAATTGAACACCTATGATAAACGATGACTGCATATTTAATAAAAAAGAGGACATAAAACAGCATAGAAACAATTAGAATAAAGCTTCACCGGTTGAGCACCAATGGCAACGATAATTCTCGCAGCAGCTGCTCGTACAGTTATCCATGGAGAAAAGAAGCATCGCCATAGCCATGCGTCGTGTTCCTAAAGAAATTTGCGTCGTGACAAATTTTTTAAACAAGCACTACCAATATACCTTTACTGCTTCAGGCGAGTTTTCCTTATGAACATTTGCTTTTTTACTGCGAGATGTTTCATAAATAGAATTCCAGTTCAACTTTGCAGACAACCAATCACCAAATAACGGACAATCGCGAAGGTTACGATTTTCTACGCGCACACGTCGATGTTGACTCTAAAATCGTTTTCAATTATTTTCGTCTAGATGCGTTTGAAGAAAATAAGATTATTTCTGTTGATGAACCTGTGATCCATCATTTGTAGTGCCACGTTGCCTTTGCTGTAGTTTACCATAAATCCTCTTTCTTACGGGCTTAGCATCTACCAAACACTTCTCGATTATTGTCAATGCGGCCAACGTAGTATCATGGTCATTGAATTTTATAGCACTCTAAAATTAAGATCTCTTCGAAAAAACAATGTGAAAATACATCGCACACAAGCAGTCATCATAACAAGAAAAAAGATGTTCTACCGTCAAAAGCCCGCGGAATTTCTGCTCCCACAAAGAATCTGGGAACATGTTAATAGATCGCGCAAGAACAGTCCCACTAAGCTTTCCTGATAAAACCATCTCCAAAAGCCTATAATATAACAAGTAAAATTCCTTTAAATATATGTAGAACACTAAACAAAAAGAATACTTTTCCGTGCCCTTTTCATTTTCCATTGACAATCGGCATAATAACATCTCGATCTCTTCTCGAATGGGCTCGTACTTTTTACTAATTTCCACCTAAATCATATCCTTATTTAAAAATACGAAAAGCTTCTGAATAAATCACACAAGTTCAAGAGAAACTCATGACTGGAAAAGTGAAATCTAACATAAGCCCAACAGAGACCACAGTAACCTACACAGATAATCCTGACTCACCAAATCTACAAATACTACGTCGGAGTTCAGCAGGCGCTCTAAACAACATTCGTCATCGCAAGAACTTTGAAGAATAGCCAGTGAGTGCAAAATACTAGCCCGTAAGCAACCGAAGCAGTTCGAACTGTAGAAACAAATGCTTGAAACAATGAGTAAAGGGAAACACAAAGTTCTGAGAAGTTTTCTCAGTAAGACAAGACAATATAAGCCAGTTCCACCTTGCATTATAAAAGCCCTGATTTATCGCCTGATGAAGCAGTGGAGGTGTTTTGATGCTTTGATCATACCCACGAAGTTCTTCACGGAATGCGATAAGCTGCTGCGTCTGTATGCATAACTCTTCATGCAGCGCTTTGCAATGAGTTGTTGTCATTAGAAGAGCATGAATAGCAGGCTATAAATACTTCAACACAGCAATGAAACGAAATATTTCCAAATAACGAAAAAGATTGATGAAGAATAAAGCGTTTGCCTCCGATCAATTGCTGAGGTATATGTCATACATTCGACTTCATCAAGCACCGTAAAGGTGATTTAATGAATACTTGGCCCATACATTGACTTGTGGTGGCTCACTGATGTATGAGGTCAGTGCTGTTATATTTCCAGACCAGTCTGGTACCAATTTGCCCACCCTGGAGGGATGGGAGGCTTGGAGCGGTGAAGGAATTGACGACCACATGCCTATTGTAAGGCACCTTTACCCACTGCGCCTTGAGCGCAAAAACGCTAACCCACGAAAAATTATGAAGATCACCAAAAACTAGCAATTGCCAACCTGTTGATGACTAATTGGTGGTAGGCCGGCAATAAGAATATTTGCGGCTTCCGGGCTTTCGACGTGATAGCTTATCGGGGGCAGTGGACGATACTGCATCCAAAGTAACTCGCAGAGTGCCCTTCCAGCCGCAAGCTGCGATCGGGTCTGCTCTATCGCGCTTAGTAATTGCACCATTGAGTCCACACACTGTAAATAAGATAAAAACGACAAAAAGCAACAGGCAACCCTAAATAAAAATATGATACAGCTGCACGCTCGACATCAGTGGTGATAGGTTGGACGCCTGGTAGACGCCGACAAACCAATGAAATGTCCATGCGCGCATATTTGCAGAAACCACACGACTGACATAGAAATGGATCCTAAAGATGAAATACCAGTAATTCTCCAAAAAGAATAATGTGACAACTCGGAGATCTTTAAAAGAAAGGGAAAGAGCCAAGAAAAAACGATGACAGATGACCAGACCTTTTCATCATAATTAATAGCACGACATTTCACACACTGAAAGACATTTTCACCACAATGCTCGCACAGTCCTGGATTAGGCTGCACAACCGATGAGCATCTTAAAAGTAAAGAAATAAAATAAAACAAGAATCTCTCCTACACATGCACCGGTCACCTTGGGCAATGCAGTTCTTGATTTTGTCGACTTTCAGTGAGTTCAGAAAACTGGATCACCAGCGAAGCAGTAACAACAGGTATTGCCAGATGAAGTACAACTTCGGTATCATTCGCTGTTACCTAAAACAAGCAACATGGGATTTAAAAAAAGAGCACACCAAGAAGATTTAACACAACATACACTGCATGTCGACGCTCGTTGCCACAATTCAGGACAGGTCTTTAATTCAACAGCAGATTCTACAGTTTTAGAACAGTAGAAAAGATTTACACGCCTGAAACACAGTGATAACTGAAAAGGAATGACCAATGAGAGCATGTAGCATTAAATGAAACCTACATGTATCTCTGTAATTTTATGGTCTCAATACAAAAAATTTGCTTAGCTTTCCTAACCTCTTTTGATCACCTCAGCTATTTGTTCCTGTATAACTTATGAATAAAGTATGATTCTGCATTCACATAGAAGAGCCACTCAGGAGACGAAAGAAATACTCATTCTGTCTTCATCCAGAACCTTATCAAAAACAACACTAGCATTAGAAACTAATACCTGGTAAGAACGTCAGAAGGCGGTTGTGCTGCTCAATCATAATTCTCTTCGGAATTCAGACATATTCGTGACAGCGTGTTCTCACGCACTCGCCATTTCGTTACCTCTGATGGGCCAAAGGAAAGCTGCCTTGTGACTAGAATTCTCCCACAATGGGAGTGATTTCAGCGGCATCAACGATTCTTGCGATTTTGAGTAACCGATCAAGGACGAGATAGTAAGAACCACAACGGAGAAGTTATAAACTGCATGCTACATATTTTTACTTTCCAGAACACCTGTACGAAACCACATACATCACAATCTGGGACGTCGTAATGACAAATGTTAGATAACAAAGACGTCTGGATTTCATGAGACGACATGAGCAAAGGATAGCCTTCGATATGATATTCGAAACTTCATTATAAAAAGGTTGAGTCAAAAATATGTGGTCAAAAGCCAACGACAAGAAGCGCTACACGACAAGGACGAATGGAGACTGCTTCAGCAGGCGTAAATTCCCCAATGATCAGTGAAAGGACAAATGACAGAGCGATATATCATCTAAATCACAAAATTCTATGTGATCCAGACGAAGTTACGTCTATATTTGCAACAAGTGAGGATGGTCCGGCCACGCGATAAGACATTGACGGCGTACAGAGAATCCACGGTAAATACTACCAAAGTGGTATGTGAGCATTATCTTAGACAGCTACGAGGCTAAGTAACGTGTTTCCAAGGTCGACTACGCTAACTGGTTCCTTCTTACAGGTAACCAAATTCGCAAGTACCAAAATACACAAACCAGGAAGTTTTCTGTTATGGTGACTTCAGGTTAAGACAAAGAAATCGTTGTTATGAGGCTTATAAGATTTCTGAATGATGGTCATTTCTAACCAAACTTCCCCCCTTGGGTTTACCGCCTCATTGTCGCTGGAGGAGGTGGTATTTCTCTGCCAAGCAACGCAGTCGCAAAGTGACAACTGTCTCTCCTAAACACAACTGTTGGCAATTAAGTGTAGAAACACTTGCGAACAACGAAGCGCAGCTAAGTATATTCTACTATTTCAATATTTTGCACACCTACCTATCAGAACAACTATAAGTACAACATATTTTTGCAGAAGCCATCAAAACTTACTTTATCATCTTACTGCGCTTGATATCGGTGAGCTTGATAATGACCTTACTGATCTCATAATGACACGTCAACTTTAGCATCATGGCGTTAGCCGAAAATCGAGCTTCTTGTTTAATCGAATTTAATTTTATGGTCTCTGCAGAGTCCTAAAATCAAAAAAGGCGACAAATTAAATTAGAAGGAAAAAGAATAGACAAAGTGAGCAGTGTGTGGAACCTTTCTGGAGAAACACACTAAGCACGGGCTTGTATCCATTAACATTGTTTTCCACCCTAATCCAAGTCCAGTCATCTGTCGATACCATCCAGCGTGACCCTCCTTCTCAATTCCGAAACAAACCAGTGAGTGCTGAGGTAATTTAAAAAAGCAAAGTAGCACTGAAAACGTCTTTGTACCTGCTAATGGTGAATGTAATTGCTTCAAGCTCTGATTCGCAAACTGACTGCATTTCTGCAGAGCTAAACAGACGAGAAGCATAGGTAGACAGAATGTCTGCTAACTGCGCAGCATGGTCACCCAAACCTCGAGCAATGGGCCATAAGTTTGTCCACAAAATACGTAGCAACATCATCTGAATAAAAACAAAACTTTGTTAAATGATTTTATAGAAGTACTGCCTGCTATTTAAGTGTAACTGGCAAATAAATAACTAATAACTAACTTGGTATGGACGACTAGCCAGCTGGATTGTTGATCTAAGCAGGCCATGCATCAGCCATCGTTTATTTTCATCATTTCCTATCAAATACCGCACCAATAGCATCATAAGCAGACATCGATTTTCTTCTTCTGCGATTATCCTCAAGAGAAAGAAAGCAGGGTTGTGGAAAGCTTCAAAGAAAGAAAATAAAACGCGCATGAACATTATAAAATATAAAGAAAAGCAAAGATGTTGGACACACTTATCGACCAATTTGAGACTGTCGAGTTTCATTTCAGGTGTTTCGCGAATGGCCGATACAAGCAAGTCGATTACGCAACAGGAAACTGCATCGCCTACGCGACAAGCCAATTGGAGGAGCCAATTAAGCTGAGACAAAAAGCCGCCAATATTAGCACTTAATGCATAACAGGTCGTTCTATTTGACACACCTCTTCTTCACAAATACTCCTCCAAAGTATCGTTCTTTGGTTTGCAATAACACCAACTGCTGTCACAATCTCTACCATTTCGCTAAGTTGCTGATGAGTGAAGTTACTGGAATAAAAGTCGTGAGGAAGTATGAGCAAAAAAACGACTACTCCATTCCAATGAAGGGAACCTGTGCTGAGAATATTTCTTCTTCAAGAGTTCGATATGGGCTCGCATCAAATGCTGGTCACGTACTTCACGATACTTCTGCTTGTCTCCATTGAACATTGCCAAAAGAACTTTTTTGCTTTGCCTACGTAATTGAGGTGCGTGTTGATAAGAAACGAGCTATAAATACATTGTAATCATAGGACCAAATTAATGCAGGAAACTTGAGTAATCCGAATCTAAAATTGTTTCAGCCCATTTTTTCAAGAGTAATGAAACTCTCTCCTAACGGTTTATCGCGTCATCGTGGCTGCGAAGTGTTCCTGGATGTACAGCAGAGAAATTTATCTCCCGGCATGGTCTCCCAAGCTGAGGAGTCTGGAATTTCCATTAGGAAGCCCAGTTAAGAGTAAACCAATACCAATATCAGTATTGGTCACCGTTCTGGTACTAAACTAGTCGCATGGTGGCAAATCTCCCTCTGATCGGGCTACCAGTGCCTGTTGCGATGACTACTTGGAGCAGACTTTGGCCAGGTTGACATCGGGATTCCAGACAACCACAATGGCTAAACCAGCAAATCTCCGAAAAGGTGGAGAATGCGCTATGGTCCGCACAACCATTGAGGATGGACCATCCAAGTATCCAAGTAAGTGAAATCATCAAGAATTCACTTACATGTAATGAAAATCTATGGCTGTTTAGGAGAAAATCAGTATAGCGCTTCATGATGATGCTTGCATCGGAAAACAACAATACAGAGATGCCTATACCTCGCAAAGTATTTTCTGCCATCTATCATCAAACTTCACATCACTCAAAATTCGTCTCATCTGACAGGGTAAACGAAGAGCTACATCAGTGATCATAGTATAGTAATGTTCACGAGCATCCATAACACCCGACCTGCCTAAAATCGAACTCATAACAGATGGAAAAAAAAACACGAACTCTTGAAAAATTTAAAGACCAATCTTCCACATACAAATCGCAGCAAAACTACCGATTGAACAGATCGGTTACAACCATAACTGCCGCCACTATAACAAATATCCAAAAAGTACACTTTCTCCACTCCAATTCTCCCAAGAAACGCATGAACCTAAGTAGCGAGAATGGCCATATAAAACACGAATTACAACATACCATTGCAAATACAGTTGACTGACGAATCACTGGATGCCACACCGAAGTCGCGCGACCATGCTCTCGGTGCAGAGCGATGGTTTTTTGCTGTTCGCCAATAACTGGTAACACTTTCGAGAAGATTTCGACAAAATTCAAGTGCACCGACATTACAGAGTTGAGCCACTATCTAAAAAAACTTATTCGAATAAATATAGCAAGAAGAACCTGAAAGTAAAAGGTTCCTCTCTATGGTTCTCTTCAAAAGATATCAAAATGCAAAAGAGACTAAACTTAACACAAACCTGCCCAAGCAGTTTTTCGGTGCTACGTCGCTTCGTAATTGCTCGCTCCTCCGAACTGCTATTTGGTGTAGCTTCTCTAGAGGCGTCGGTAGATACCACCGGAGCGAATTCAGGTGCTCCAGAACGAACGGATGCTGGAGGTGATCCAGAATCCTCATCTGGTAATATACAAGCACTTGAACCTACTCTCTTTCCTAAAAAAATAAACAAATCAAGTAGGAGAAACCATTTAATAATATTTAACCAAATCCACCTTCAGACTTCTTTTCGCTCTTCTTCCTATTCTCAAGATGTTCTCCACATTTGGAAAGAAGCACAAAAATGAGACGGAAGAGTAAAAATTGCCTTAAGAAGTAAATAATCCCAAACCACTAATCCCTTAATTTTTACTGGCATTTTTACTAGCATTTTTCACCTATAGTTATGATCATTGATGTCCATAATACTTGCTTTCCAATCTACCATTGATATAAGTTGAACCACAGTTGGATAGAGATTGGCTGGGTAGAGTTGAGCCATTAAAGCCATTGCAAAAATAAGGAGGGAAGTCGATGGGACGGTATCGCTTCGACTAAACATGTAATCATCGTTTATTTGCAATAAAGAATTCGACTATTTCGTCATTTAACTTACCCTACAGGAACTCCTTCTACAGGTGAGGAACCAATTGATCCTTCGTCTCGTATTTTCGTTAGGACAGCTTGCAAAAGATTGAGAAGCCATTCGCTTTCTTGAAAAAGACGAGTCAAGAAAAGAAATAAATCAAATGATTGCTACTAACCCAAATCGAACATGTCACTGTTCCTCTGTGTGAGAATATCTACTGAGCAAAGAGGCCCCATCAAATATTCCACTTCCACCGGATCATCATCGGGACTAAAATGCTGCCCTACGTTGCAAATTGATACCAAGTAATTAATTATATTTAGTAGAAAATAAACCCGAGAATCTTGGAGCGATTGAAAAACGGTCGTAGTCCGCCCCAGCGCATGACTTTGAATGACGGATTTAAAGACCGTGCTTGTGTCCTGTCATTTCTTGTCGTGAGAGCAAATGAATAAATAAGCGTCTGTCCAACAAGGCGAACACGATGTGCTATATGCGACGTCTAAATGCCCAGTTGTTATTCTTCTATTCAAAGCGTATTACTAAGAAGATATCAACAAAATCCTTACCTTGGGATCAGTGTACAGACTGAGATATTCCTCTGTGAGCATTTTTGAATGAGGATCATCCAAAGAAAGAAGAATGAAAAGTAGAACTGTGTACAATTCAAGAGCAGGAAGAGGATCTGATACACTAACAGCGCTACATGTGGCAGCCATAGCAACTTCACGTCGAAGAAATGACATGAGAGCCACGGAGCTTCCAAATTCTGAAAAAAAATCCAAAAAGAGATAACGGCCAAGAAGTGAAGTCAACCGTTCGTATTGAAAAAACTGGCTCAAATTTAGTGAACAAAAGTTGACATGGCACTGTAAAACATACTTCGCTGAACAATAGCCCAGAATTGTTTCCATCGGGTACACATCATATACTTGAGATTAAGAGCAAAATCTGCCATCAAATCGTTGGGGATAGGCACTTTTCCGCGAGAAAAGAGACATAAATCATCTGAATTAGAGATATCAGCCGATTTCGGCCTACTGGAATTCTAAGAAAAATTGAAACTCACTTATTATGACCACGTCTTTACGTGCGTAATAGTCGTGAACATTACCGTGCAAAATAGCTCTCAAAAGACGATTTGCCGCATCGACCAGGTCGCGGTGACATAAACGGGGGCTCATCAAGCGACAAGCAGTTTTCACCATCCATTCACGATCCTCAAAAAACAGCAGGCACAGTGGTTAATGCATTTCTAATAAACGAGAAAAGAATACCTTAATAAGCAGATTCCTTGTTGTCAAAGTAGTCAACATGCGAGCCACATTAAGAAGGAACTTATTTGGAAGAGAAAGAGGCACGCGTGCAACAAGATGTGAGCGAGGAATTCCAAACTCTCTTTTCGATATACCATACAGCCGAACTGATACGACTGTCATACCTACTTGAGATCTAGTTCTGCCCGAAAACGTGAAGGTAATATTGCGATGATCTCTGAAACGAGGATAATTTGTATCGGAGCAAAGTAATAACTTACAATAATGAAATTAAATCCTAAGATAAACAATGCCATACAGTTCAAGAGATTGTGACCGCGTGAATCTGATATCAAAAAATCGAGCTAGATCTGTGGTCATGGTAAGTGGGTAGGTCCTATCGCCGATGGTGACCTTCAACAACATGTCACATGGAAACAGAATGGAGACGAAAATTTCGAATTAGTTAATATCCCTTGTAACAAACATTATGCAGACCTCAGAGGGTCCACGACCTCGCTCAGCGGGTAGCTCAATGCGCACTCCTCGAACTACGATGTTAGGATCTCCGATCTTCACCGTAAGAGTAAACTGCTCTTTCTAAAAACCAAAAAATTTGAACAGACATCAAGTTATTTAAGTGTCGCTTCAGAAAATGACATAACATATGAAACTCGTGCCTGAATTGCTGTGACAGGCATCGCTCCAACGGAATTCAATCGCACATTGAGATCGTGAACATCGTAGAAGATCTCTAAGTCTGGACATGACACCTCAACTCTTTCAACAAGCTCGCAGCGTTCAAATAACTAGAACATCGACAACATTAAAGCGAGAGCAGAAGAACAGAATAAATTGGTAGCAATAGGACTTCATCAATTACCGTAACAAGATCACTGTCTTCCAGCTCATCATCTGGTTCTTCTTTCTCCTTTTCAGCCTGAGGACACATTTCACTAGGCGTGTTCTCTATCCATAAATCTGGCAGTGTTGACCATTTTCTAAAAGAAATTTGATTATAAGTGTGTAAATTTAGACAGTATGAGTGAATGGTAGCAACTAACGCTGAGAAAACCAAATTTGTTGGTGAATCGTAGAAAAATGGTATCGAATAGATCATATCTGCGGAGGATCCAGTAAAAAGAGCATGCGTAAAGGCAGATCTTTTAAGCTGCACTCTCTACAACACTAACTAAACTGTCAGAACTTTTAAATCGATTGATTAAAATTGGAAAAGAACCTGGACGAGTAACTGTTCAAGTGTTGGATACACAAATATAAGCGATGAAGCGACCGGATATGAAAGGCAAGCCATGACTCCACTAGATTCTTGCCAACAATGAACAGGGGTTGCCATTTCCAACCTAAAACACTTATGTAAGCAATAAATTGTTTATAACGTGAACTGGCAAGTTTTCCAGGAAAAAACTACTTGGTCCAATTGAATGACAGGTCTTCTCTAAAGAGGTTCCCTTTTTCGATGGGTACAAACCATGTTCCCTTCTCCAATGATAAAAATAACAATTCAGAGACCGATGAGTAGTGAACCGATCTAAAAATGAGTGCATCTAAAGGCAATGCGCACAAAACAAATTCATGGCAATAAAGTGTTCAAACTCACACTCCAGCTCCCAATGTTTGCTGCGTTCGGGGTGGTGTAACAGTGTTGGTCAGAAAAAACGATGTGTTCTCCGCACTTTTTGCAGTTAACTACAATAGCAGATTGACACAATAATCATGAATCAGCTCCTTTCTAACAGTATTCGACTACCTTGTGCTCATAAAGATGACCGGAATTACTTAAAACCATGAGCCACATTTCGTCAGTAGTGCTACTATTAATGAGCTCAATATCTTCAACATTCCCTGCAATTTTCTCATTCTCATTATCATTTGTTTTACTACGTTGCCAAGAAAAAGAGCAAAACATAAGCACACACTTTCACAACGTACCTACTGGTAGTACTAGCTCTTCCACAAAGTTATCTGCATCCAGTAAGAGATCGTAAATGCGAACAAGCTGAATAGTGGCAACTGCCAAAAGTGCTGGACGACTTTGTGCCCATAGAACCTTTAATTGGCCACACATGGAAAACGTTATAATAATTCTTAAAATGGATTCCCACCTTCATTATTGAGTTGTTATGTGTAGTGGTGATTTCACCAAGTTTAATAACCATGCGATCAACGATCTCGCCTTCCCTATTCAAACGAAGAGTTAGTATGTCACTTAAGCCAGCTACTGCCACTTTATCACCACGGCAGGCAATTTGGCGGCCAGCAAAGCCAACTGGCTCGGAATCAATTCTCTAAATTCAGATAAAACCTAAATCTTAAGCATTATTAATCAACAGAACAAACGGTCACATTAACCATGTGCTCCAATTCGTCAAGTAAGCTTTGTCCAGGATGCACGTGAAATATCTGCAGTGTAGTTGCGTGTTCAGCTAGTATAAACCACAAATGACATCCATTTTCTGAATAAAGCATTGGAAAAAGGTGTAAACGCATGAACTGCAAAAAGTGCACAGTTAAAAATGAAGGCCTACCAAAAGGTAAAACGTGACAAATATCTTTGGCCTTATTCCTCTCACTGGGAGGTTCTGGAGGTCTTCTAGGCTCAAGAAGACTATTAGGTTTCGTTGTCATTCCATAATCTTCCTGAGCAACAAACTTTGATGAGCATAATTCTACACAGATCAATTATTCATTACCATTACGGCTTGATCATAAACCACACGTAAACGTTGGTGATCAGCAAGTGACTGTCGCACGTTATCACGGCGCTGGTCAAGCGACCACCGTGAATCACAGGCATGCAATGAGGCTCGAATAATCCGTTCAATCACTTCAACTCGACTTTCAATACAATTGCGAACTAGGCCCTAAGTGTAATATATTACGTGAATGAGGAATATTTGGATTCAAATATAAGAACTGACCAAAAGATCCAATATTTCTGACAGGTCCGTGTTCGATTCGAGACCTACTTTGAATGAAATAGCATGTGCAGTGTTGTTGTCAACTAACTGTATGGGGTAACATTCAATAACGCTAGTGAAATTAAAGCTAAGCGAAGACAAACAAAAGGTTACCGTATGAACAGCTGGAAGAGTTCTTCCCCGAGCAGCACTTATTGCAGAATTCTGATAGATCGTTGCTGTCAAAGCAGAACATCCATTGGCGCCACAGTCACAAAAGAACGATCCTTGTTTACTGAAGCGAATAATTTGCAGCATGTTGAGAAGGAAAGCCTCTCTTAAGCCCTAGGGGAAATAAGAAAGTGAAATACGGAATAGCTGTCACCTATACGAAAGATCATGTCCACGATGACAGTTCACCGCACATACGCTACACACTCCTTTGTTGTCGGTCATTTTACATGTGTGACAATTGTACCAATGTTGATGCACGAATTCTAAACATCGCATTTTAAAGAATGGTTGATGGAAGTTTGTTAACCAAAGATCTCTTTTACTAGTAATCGGTAGTAAAAATTAACAGTAATAGAAGTGATAATAGCAAAAAGTCGAAAATACAAACCCTTTTCGGTGGCCGCATATGTGCACAAAGGAATACTATTAACAGACCGAGACTCCTCTACTCGACGCTCAACGGTAGGTAGGGCAGTTGGTCCTCCACGACGAGTAACGACATTCTATTTTTTGTCAATAGCAAACAATTGTTAACACTCGTAAATACAACAACACTAGTTAAATATGAGAAAATTCTACTCAGACATACTAATTAGAATTACCTTCAAAGCTTCGCAATCACTGAAGTAAACATCGTCCTGATATGGTTCCGTATGTTTACCGAGTTGAGAACAGTACTCGAGTAGGTTGGACACGACTATCAAACGGAATACTAGTCGGTTCTCATTCTAAAGAATACTTGTTAGCAAGAAAAACGCCCAAAACAAACAAAAAGCTATTTGAGATAACCATATGCAACATCGAAGCAATACACCAGTAGCAGTGCGGTAGTTCTACGAAAACCAAACCGCATACACATCCAAAGGAGTATTTTCCTAATGATTCCCTTCCTTACCTAGGAAATTAAAACATTCAAAATTTGAGACTAACCATCAGTAAACTTTGTCCACGCAACACATTTTCTTCTTCTGTGGAAACCACAATCCAAGAAGTCAAGTTTTCCGCACAATGACGCAAAACCTTAAAAAGTCGATAGGTCAGTTTTATATAGAGGAGCTAAGCGCTTCTCAACCATAATGACACATCACAATTAAAAACTAAAATAAAGTTCATTGATCTACCTCAACGTGTGTCTCCACATCTGCATAATTACAAATCACAGTCAGAATCTCGTGAAAAACATCTTGACATCTTCCAAGTGGGCCCGAACCATGTAGATGAGTTTGCCGCTCTGACTCTGATAAAAACACTCGCTGTTTTCCTTCCCAATTCAGCGCTGTTTGAGCTGAACGATCAGTTGACTGCACCGTAATCGCATAGAATTCATGCAATTCGTCGATAAGCGAGGGTCTCAATATAGCTCCGACGCAATCACGCATAGCACAATGCATCACTTCAGCGTCAACCTCCAAAATAATATGTACCCTTAGTTAGAAAATGCATGTGGTAGAAAACGGCTATGAGACTTACGTGATCCCTCAGATGTTGTAGAATGGGGGCGAAACTTAAAAATAGTGCACAGGGTGCTTGGGTGCAGCGAAGCCATGATGGAAGATGTAGAACACGACTAATTAGTAGACATCTCAGCTGCTTTGATATTTCAGAGTTTTGATCTTAAGTTTTTAAAATCGCCATGCAACGCTCATATAAAGTTTCCCAAAACGAAAAAACTTTCACACACCCTTCTCAAGTAGGATCGAAATCACATTTACGAAAGCCGGTGTAAGACAAATATGTTGCGGGAGAAATTCTCGCGAAGCACATCTGTCAAGAGTGTCAGCCAGAATGGCACAATGACCCTGAGCATCAAAGTACGTTGACTCGTGAAAACCACTACTGTTGTGCAACTAGAAGTACAAGAAAATGCAAAACCTCGATCCATGACGGTCGAATGTTTTCATTCGATAAAACCGCTTCGTAGAAAGAACAAAAAATGTCCAGCACGGGCCTGAGTTCGACAAAATTTGTTGTTAAAAGCTTTGAAGAAAAAATGAAGCACGGAATGAACAAGTTAAAATTTTTACTTTCTCTCAAATATCTGAATAGGTTGAGCACTGGTAGCGCCGAGAAGAAGAGTTTCAGAAAGGTAACAGAATCGAACTTGCGCTGTGTTCTCTGTTTCCAACTGAAAAATGGATCATTTCGGTAATACGAAATATCATTCTTGAAACGATATACAACAGTGAAAAAGTACTATCGGTTACGAAAACTATATTATTTCACGGTGATTCCGATGAAAGGCAATACAATATTGTGATGAATAAGGATATTATGACTAAAATGTCCTTGAAACAGTACTAAAATAAATAGAACACCTCATTAAGCTGTTGATCAGCACGCTCGGAAATTTCCCGGGAATATTGTCCGCTACTCGAAATACGTACCATCCACTGGATTTGTTTTAGGTTTACTGATTCCTTATCCGATCTAAAAATGTAGTGAATAGTGAATGGGTTCTTCAACATTACAGGATAGGAAGGACCTGTTTTTCCATTGCTCTTGGACTTCATGGAGTAGAAGTGTTGCCACTCCATGCCTAAGATGTTGGTGTAAAAGGTATTCATCAACACTGTTCGAGTAATCAACGACATCCTTTCCCTCCTGTAAATCAACTGCGTCATAAAACTTATTGATCAATCAATTTCCATCTTAGTAAAAACGCTAAAAAAATAAGCTTCCGGCGTTGATCTATCTTTAAGGGATACGCCATGCGACTTCATTAAGCATCGTTGGAGGTGACTGAATGAATATTTGGCCTTTACAATGACTCGTGGTGGCCTACCAATGTATCGAATCAGTGCTGCTATCCTCCTAGACAAGGTCTAGTACCAATTTGCCGACCCCGGATGGATGGAAGGCTTGGTGAGCCACGGGAACGGGATGTGCATTGCAAGGCGCCTCCGATCACTGCGCCAGGCGCGCCCTCATTCTAGTAAAAAAGCAATAAGGAAAGAAATAAAGGCAACAAAGGCACCTTTAAGAATGTCGACAGATCACTTTTCTGTGGTGCGTTGTTGTCCGCGATCAGCCTCGACAAAACGTCCTCAGTAACAGCTTGACGGCACTGCTCTGCGAAACCTGGATGCAGATCGAAGAACGCTTTGTTCCGAAAGATCGACAGCACACAATGAAGACGATCGATTCCACCAACGGATTGCAAAGCAATGCAGGCTTCCTTACTGGAATGAGAGAAAGAACGCTGGTGCATAGAGGTCTTCACAAGTAGAGGATCACTACAAAAACGAAAAAAAAGTTAAATAAAACGAACACTTCATGAATATCGATATTGTAAAGTAGAGTTGTGAACGCTTCAAAAAGATCCGCACCAAGTCTATTGCTTGTGGATTCAATGATAAGTACGGTGAGTATAAAGCTCTGGACGTACGGCTGCCATTTTCCCTAAGAATCAAGTAAAATGGGCTTCAAAACTAAAGAAAATTGATGATGAACAAAAAAATTCGAAAAGAACCTCATGTAGCAAATTGATAAACAATTTGACAGCCCGCACAGCTAATTTCGATACGTTTTCAGGATGAACAAATTGCTTAAGCGATGTTTCCACACCAGGGAACTGCTTGTTAAAACTCTAAAAATTTCATATGTGGTTCAGCAATAACATACAACAATATAAAAAAACCTTGGCAATCACCTGTATATCACGCTGACCTTGCTCCGAATTAAGCCGAGGCAAATGACGCATAATAAACAGGAGTACGACTAGATCAAGGTTTTCTCCGAATCCACCAAAGTGGTCGGATATTAGTAGAGAGTACGTGCCAGACAAAAACGATTGTGAAGGATGACGAAGAGAAAATTCAGCGAGAGACTTAATTACTCCCAGCCATTCGTACGATGTCTTACCCAGAGTTTCCAGATCAAGTGACCAAGTACAGTCTAAATATAATGATTTCTCCTAGCTTGAATAATCAAACACTTTCTCAATTTACCAATCCATGTCAGTGTCAAAGCATACAGTGGGCACAACAAGAAGATGACAAAAACTCTATGATAGACCAAAATATTCTGAGGGCATTATTTAGTAAATTAACCTAATGAAACGGCTATAAAGGATTATTTACCTTTATCCTAAATCTATTCAACACCAAAAAACAAACTATGTAAAAATCCCAAAGTACTTTGGTAATAACAGCCCACCTGGGTTTCGATGAACCAGAGTTAATAGAAGTGACGTAACACCATCTACTACAACCACAGTGGATTTTTCACTGAAAAAAGTGTGTTAAAAAAGTAACATATCAGTACTAGCGTGACTCACTCCGACATAAGATTTTCCAGAAGACTAAGCGTTTGTCTCGAGTATTCCTTTGCATCTTTCTTCGTTAATAAGTAAGAAAATTCCTCAAGAATGTTGCATTCTTCTTGGCATAATCTTAATTAGGATGCCTCTAACAAATGCGTCGCATTGTTCGACTTCACAAGAAACAACAATGTGATTAAAAAAATTGAACTGGTAATACCTTTCAGTAACTTTTGACCTGTCTGAGGTCTGATATGACCTCAATGTGTGTTTAAAAACATATGCAACTAGCTGAGATAGAGCGTCACCAGTGCTTCCATTTATGATCGTGCGCAGAAGTACAGACTTTTGCTGTCCTTGCTTCGTTAAAACTCCTTGAAGAAGCTCAGTCTATAATTCATATGTTCCTTAACCTTAACTTAACATCTGATCAGCAACACTTAGAGCGAATAAAGATCAACCTGGAGGTCAGCCCCAATAAGTTTCCGACGGCAAAGAGAAATGTAGGTGTTCTGGAGATAGCCGACAATTTTGGTATTTGACAAATTTTCGACCTAAATAAAAATCTATATCATACATTGCTTGTTTAAAGTGCTAGTCACATAGATTACTATACCAACGGAATTAAAATGCATCACTTATATAGTGGTAGGCCAGAAGTAAAATAATACAGTGACGCGTACTTAAAATATACTGTAACCTAAACTACTCTTAAGCGAAGCGGACTTGCAGCTGAACAACGTTACATCCTAGAAACAAAATTTGTAAGTACAAGCATAGGAATGTCGAGATAAGTACGAAATTCGGAACCTCAAGTGGGTCTCAAACCTGCAGCTACCCACACCGAGAACTCGCTTTCTATCCACCACATCAAGCCTTTTCTCTGCCTTTCTCTCATCTGTTCCACTCTATTTGTGCTATCAGCAGTCATCCGGGAATGGCTGAAGCAGCAATCGAAATCACAGTCCTTTCACTTTTATTTCTTACCTGTTTACTTGGCAAATTTTCCTTTCCTACCTGAGGTTCCAAGCTTTGCACATATCTCACCACACAAGTGGTTTTTTATACGATAATATTTCATACCATACCACCAACGTCATGGAAAAAATAATAGGCAATAAATAAAAATTAAACAACTTGAACAAGAAACAAGAAGTGTTTCTTCCCTCCAGTACTTCGCATCAAGGTCTTGCAGATTGCAGTTTGGCAAGAACTCGAAAGCAAAAAATGCAGATCAATGGACCATAATTGAAGCACAGCCACACCTACCTTTTCAAACACATTAGCAATACTTTCATTGCACTGAGTCATAGTCCTAGCATTTGATAACAATCGGAGCAAAAACTCGATTCCCTTAGACCACTGAAAATTACGTTAAAACATCAATAAAAGAATAAGACAGAGCAAATCATTTCACATGCGCATATTTACGTTATATATATATATATATATATATATATATATATATATATATACGTATACGTATATGTAATAACTTACTTGGATGCTTGGACGGCCCATCCTCAATGGTGGCACTGCCTCCAGCATAATCTCCATTTTTTGGAGTTGTGGTGGTTTAACCACTGTGGTTCACTGGAGCCCCGATGTCAGCTAGGCCAAAGTCTGCCCCAGATCGTCACCACCGTAGGCAGTCACCGCCCCTATGGATCAGGAAATTTGCCACCACGCGACTAACTGAGTATCAGGAGGACAGTGACAAATCCTGGTATTGGTTTAATCCTAGCTGGGCTTCCTGATGAAAACGCCGGACTCCTCAGCTTGGAAAACCCTGCCAGGGGCACGAATGCCCTTTCTATATATAGCGGCCAAACACCCAGGAACACCTCCCAGCCGCGAAGAGGTGATGAACCGTTGGTATATATATACATGCATATATATATGTATATACGTGTATATGTATAGGTATATGTGTACATATGTATATACATGTACAATATTTATATGTATATACACATGCATATGAATATGTATATGTATACGTGTATTACGTATACATGCTTGTACATAAATGTACACATGGACTAAAAGTATGAACCTTGACTATATTGGACATATGTAACGTGCGAAAGGCAGACTGCTGGTCAATCATCGTAGGTACTTGTTCAAATATACACTCCAACCAGTTTTCAGCAATAGTATCGTCTCGTGTTGCTGAAGGAAAAAACTAGTTAATCTGAAAAAAAGACACAATTTACGCATATACCTTCTTCTGGAGAAGCAATTGGCACAGTCTCTGATCCCGCATCACTAATTTCTGCCAGCGATTTTGTTTCACGTTCTAAGAACGAGAGAGCCTTCCCAACTGCATTCCAAAGGGAAAGCGACAGCTCAGAACAGTTGGCAGCGGAGAAGTCAATCCAAATAGATACCATTTCTAGTCCAAGGATAATTTCCATGAAATAGGTTATTTCCGAACACTAAAAACAGGAAATTCCGGACGGTTCAACAGATCATATAACAGCGGCCATCTGAACAGAACCATCTATCGAGGTTCTAACTCTAAATTGATTCTCTGCGAACCATTTCAGAACAGGAATACTTTTACAGAAAAAAAACTGTTGCTGGAGATGAAAGCAAAGGTTTGTACGCCAATTACATTAGCAAGCAATGATTTCCAAGAACAGAACTGCTGCTGCTGCATGAAACAAACTTTCGCCACAAAAATGTTCTCTTATGCTATTTATTGGATTTAGAATAGCCACAGTATTACGTGGTGGTATAAACACTCGTGAAACGAAGTGCTCGGAGGCACGCTGTAATACAAGTGGGATCCAAGGCTCTTCAAGCCTTCCATTCCTTCGCAGTCGGCAAATTGGCACCAGACCTGTCTGGGAGTAAGGTCTTTCACTTTTAAAACAATTTACGAATATAGCTTAGAACGTTTACTCTCCATCATATCTCTCGAAGTTTACTCCTTGTGATTGCCGTTGCTGTTGCGTCTCTAAGATTTACTCTGACTTAGGATTAAGCACAACCACAATAGGCATCTTTTCGTTCCCAACTACTTCTTATTTCGCTCCAGCAAAAGGAACAGACTAGTTTCGTCTGCAGTGGTAACATAATTGACCGCGATGGAGAAAACATTGGAGCGTTTTATAGCACAAATGTACAATAAGGCAGTTTGAATGAGCCGAAGCTAGAAAAAACAAACAAACAAGAAAACACGAAGACCCAATCTCAAACCTTTTGCAAGAGTCTTGCAAAACTAAGAAACAAATGTTCCATCACTTCAGAATTTGCGGACAACCGCGTAGCAAATGAACTTATAGTGCCTTCAAGTAATTTAAATCCCAGAGTAGGAGACGTATTGACTGACGCCGTGGACGAACACGCAGAGGGCGCACTGAAACCACATTCGATTGTTGTAAGAGCATAGGCGCAAATCATCGGAACGTTCTCCAATATCAACAAAATAGTAATAGGTCTATAACACTGCTGAGAGCCATGCGAAACAAAGAACCAGCATGGTGTCGTGGTGAACGCGTCAGCCCACGGAAAGGGTAAAAGTGTGTTCAGTCCCCAGCGCAGAGAACAGCGGTTTGGGACTTTCCCAATGTTTAAGCACCATAATGGTTATATCTCACATAATACTCTGCCATTAAAAAAGAGTAGGCAGTAAATAAAAAGTTACAACATCAACACAATAGTGCCAAAACGATGAACTCAAAGCGTACCAATGGACGTAAGACAGAGCTGCTGCTGTGAACGGAACTGCAAGATGAGAACAGGAGAAACTCAGACTGACCCAATCAGTTTTCAAGATAATCAGCACATCCAACGCATTTTCAACAACTACTGTTTCCCTGGAAAACGAATAAATGAAATCGCTCCAATATAGAAACGCAAACAAAGCCATCAGAATTCGAGCAAAAGAAAGCCTACAGAGAAGGTTCTTTGTTGGAAAGAAGTTCATCAACATTGTGGGCAAGACGATCTAGCGGGAACAATAAGCCTAGTACACGGCTCACCATTCCTGTATCTAGTAGGGCTTCTCGGTTGCTGTGTAGTATGAGACTCTAAAACATCATTATTAGAAGCCTCCCAAGATAACTGTTGAAAATGAAACTACAGTAATTTTCACCTCTGCTTTCTCACTGTCGACTAAGTCTTCTGCTGGGGTTCCTACTGGACTACACCCAGAAATCTTCAATGTTGTCAAGCATCTATCAATTAAATCAGATGGCATCTTCGCGTTTATTGAGAAACAGTTAAGAATGCTAGCCCATTCTTTACACGCAAAAGACTCCGTAGGCAGCTCAGAAAACTTCTCAATCAAACGACGACAGACTGAAGCATGTTGAGCCGCCTCGTTTAGTGAGCCTAAAGGCAAGTACTCCTTTCAAATCGAGAAATTTCGAACGCTCACGAGCCACCTACATAGACATCTGTGTGGCACTTCATGCATTCACACTATATTGAAGTTGGAATCAACTATAGCCTTCCTTCAATGTAAAGCAGTTTTTAAACAAACTGCAAGACAAATCTTTTCATGTCAATGAACTACGGGCGGAAATACGGCTTACATTTCACTTCACCAAAGACTTCGGCCAATAGAACGACAAGTTGGCTTGGAGTACATTTTTCTGATATCTGACTGGAAATGTGACTCAATAAAGCACTCGACACGCCTTGTTCTGGCATGTGATCGTAAACAAGCGACCTATGATTGCTCTAGGATTAATCTTAAATGGAACAAGCAACTACTCATGAGATATGGCGAGGTCTGTGCACACCTGTAGATAACACTACTGAAAATGAACAAGATTTATTTTGTCTTGTTATTTATTTCAGCTTGGACAATAACAACAAAGAAGCGCTAACAAGAATATCATTCACAACAGCGTCGACTGAAGCCTGTGCATCATTTAACTCGGAGGACTGTGAACCGACTAGAAGGCCGCTTTCTAAACCGTCATTCGTTACTTGGGCACTCCCGATTGTGCTGTGATCTCCATGGTTATCCACCATACTCTGCAAACAAAACAGCTCGGAAAAAAATTGCTTAAGTTAGCCTTAATGGGCGGTTCAGTGAACTTATTTCATATACCATATGATGACATAATAACAAATAAAGGATAAACTATCCCTGAGAGAGGCGTCACGCGTTCTACTTCATTAAGTATCGTTAAATATGACTGAATGCATATCTGGCCTTTACAATGACTCACGGTGGCCTACCGATGTATCGAGCCAGTCCTGCTATCCTTCCAGACAAGCCTGCTACCAATTTGCTGATCCCGGCGGGTAGAAGGCTTGGCGGGCTAGGAGCACGGGAAGCGATATAATGTGTATGGCAGGGCGCCTCCGACCGCTGCGCTACATGCCCCCTAGTGGCGACAATCCTTAGGTGGTGGCACCAAATTAAACTACAATGTACAAGTAGTAGTTAAGGAAAATAGTTGGTAAAAACAGCAAAATATACAACTTGAGGAGAAACCTGCTTAGGGGAGCTTAGAAGGTATCCGAACGGTTGTTCGTACTGGTCCAGCTCGTTGTTAACGGCTTCGAGTATCCTTTTCCGCAACAAATTCGTTGCTAACATTATCTGATCGTAAGCACCACAGCTGCAGACCTTCAACGAAACCTGGCTATTCGAATCGACCTCCACATCTTCACCTGATTCCACCATGAAATCCTCGTCCACGTCTGAGTCCATCTAGGATTCGAATCAATGAATAAAGGATCCAATTGTAAGTGGATGATCGATGTTTAGTACATTCTACTAGAAAGCACAACAATCATTTCCTGCAAACGGACCACAAAGCTCTCGAAGTTTGTTGGGGTTTTTTTGGGGCGTTACAATGAAGCATGAAAACGATAGATTACACTAAAAATTAACAATACAAAAATATATAGCACATGCTCACTACAAAACGACTGTAATGTTGCTGGGAATCTAGGTAAGGTTAAACCCCAAGGCCAACTTACTATTAACCTACCCATTGATTGAATAACTCACTGTTCTCTTGATGAGCAAAGACAACGTTAGTACTTTACTCCTTATTTAAGAACAAGCTGACAACAGAATAAAGTGACCACTTGTTGGCTCAGCAAGAGAATAGTGAGCTAAGATTAAATCGACGAACTGTTCTCTCCAAACCGATACCTCTCCAAAACATGAGAATACCAGTTACCAGAAATCCAACAGCTGATAACGACTACGAGTCTGACCCACATAGGTCAAGATTAGGTCAAGCTGGGTTCCACGATTCGACGGCGGGTTCTTCCCGCCTGCTACCGCATGCCTTTCCGTTTAGGACGCGGCAGCAATCGAATACTCAGTTAAGCGGATGCAAACATTGCTTCCCAGTTTCCTAAAGGTGTGGATCTGAGCCGCTTCCTGTTTTCTAACATGTACAGGCTTGCTTAGAAAACTTCCGTGAGGACTTAATGCAGTTGTTTTTTAGGGATTTTATTTTCTAAAAGTTTTGTAACAACCTCATACTAACTCAGTCATCGAGACCTCCTAGGATAGTCACTCCTTATTTTTTTTCTTTTCGTCGTCGTGTGGTTTCTTGTGCAGCCTTGGTTTTTTAAGTTGCCTTCTTCTCGTTCGTAAGTTAGATTCACGGCTATGCATATGTGTACAATGACTACGTTGTGCTGGTGTTAGTGGTTCTAGTTCTTTCCAGTTTTGGTAAGGAGTTAAGTCTTGAATAAAAGCGTTTGCATGTCACACATATGATTTCATCGTTTCACTTCTCCTGTGTCGTTTTAGGTAGTATGGCGGCTCGTCCGCTTGTAACCGTTTACAATGAGAAATACGAGGCTACAGAAACTCAACTAAAACTTCCGGCGGTGTTTCGTTCTCCTTTGAGACCGGATATTGTTAGCTTCATTCATGATCAGATGTACCGCAACAAACGTCAAGCCCATGGAGTTTCAACACTGGCCGGTATGTCGGTTGTTAAGCTTAACGTTGCACACCTATTTTTTTCTCTTTCTGTTTTCTTTGTTCTTCCCGTGTCTTTTTTCTGCCCTGGAGAGACCTTATAGTATGTCACTCTTATGTAGTATGCTTTGTACATTTTATATCGTACCTGTCGTTTATGCACTATTAAGCTTGTTAACTGATTAGTAATCATGTTCCACGAAGAAATTAAATAGCTTACAGTGTCATGTACAACCGCGGTTAGTAAGACCTCATAATTTCATAAAGTTAAGTGTACTTCTGAAGATGAATGACCCTAGCACGCCAGCATACTTAAGCAAAGTATTGTAAATTTGGAATTTGTAGGAAAAGTTCGGTTCCAAACTACTCTTACAGTGGCTCAACGTATTGGTCTAGAAATTCTAACCAGCAAATTATATTGCAACAGTTCTATTTTTAAGCTGTTCTGAGCATCCAATAACTGATCAAGTCGTTGCCTACGTTCTAGCTAACTCTTTGCTTTTTTATTGTACAGTGAAGCCTGTAATCAATGAAGCGGTTCTGTAACATTCTTTATATGCTAATGCTGCGAACATTACTCTGGGTTTCCCGTTGGGATTTCGGTAAAAGTCTCTTTTTGTTGTCAAAACCGAGTTTTAATTTCCGACAATCTGTCGTGAAGTGCTACCACGAAAAAATTTTGGATGGGACGTTAGTCCAGTAGTGTTGTATGACTCGGATTTTTTCATGCAAAATTGACATTGTACTGCTTCAGGAAAGCAACATTCTGCTGAGTCTTGGGGTACGGGACGTGCTGTTGCTCGTATACCCCGTGTCCGTGGAGGTGGTACCCACCGGTCTGGACAAGGAGCCTTCGGCAACATGTGCCGTGGTGGCCACATGTTTGCGCCTCTGAAAGTGTTTCGGCGATGGCACCGTCGTATTAACATCGCCCAAAAGCGTTATGCCATATGCTCGGCCATTGCAGCCTCTGGAGTTCCTGCTCTTGTGCAAGCGAGAGGTCATATTATTGAAGAAGTTGCTGAAATCCCACTCGTTGTCAGCGACAAGATCGAATCTTTCCGCAAGACCAAAGAAGCTGTGGCTTTCCTTCGTCGTTCTCATATTTGGGCCGACATTGAAAAGGTATGCACACACACGTACGTTCTGTGCTTTCGTTTTTCCTGTTTAATTTTCTTTAACAATTGTCTTATAGGCTCTTTAACTGCTACTTTCAGGTCTATGCTTCAAAACGCACACGTGCAGGTACTGGAAAAATGAGGAACAAGCTTCATAAGAGAAAGCTGGGACCTCTGCTTGTCTACGGGCAAGATGCAGAATGTGCACGAGCTTTCCGTAACATTCCTGGCGTCGATATACTAAACGTAGAGCGCTTGAATTTACTCAAAGTTGCACCTGGAGGTCATCTTGGTCGTCTAATCATCTGGACTGAATCGGCTTTTAAGAAGCTAGATGCCATTTATGGAACACTTAAAGCCAACTCATCAGAGCAAAAGAAGGGTTGGTCTGTTCCTTTGAACAAGCTTACTAACGCGGATTTGTCGAGGCTCTTTCGTTCTGAGGAGATTGTCAGGGCTGTTCGTCCAGTTAAGAAGAATGTTAAGACAGCCAAGATACACAGGAATCCGCTTAAGAAACGTAGGCTAATGCACAAATTGAACCCATACGCTGCTGCTTTACGTGCAGCTGCAAAGAAAGTCAGTGAGAAGTAATCTGTTGTTTGTTGATAAATATTCCTAATGTTATGCTTTATTTAAGACAGTTTGCTATAATAATCGCTATGTAAAATTTTCGGAAGTGAAATTTGCCTCGGTCGATTTTGTCGCCGCTCGTCGTGAAAGCGATCCATTTCGTCTAATCTAAATAACCTACTCTGAGAAACAGGTACAAACAGGTGGTACAAAGAAATGCTTACGTTGATTCTCGTTCAAGTTTCCTCACTGTAGTGGTAGTGTTTCTTATAGTGGCATCGATCCGATTCAAAATATCCTTCATACTTTCTTGCGAATGGTCTTCTTTTCTCTCTAAAGGTTTATGAACTTCACGGTTTGGTCTCCCATGATATCTCGTGCTAGAGCCACTATTGCTGTTGTCGCACACTGGAATTCGTATCGAAGTTTTCAGATGGAAGTCGTCCAATGACCATAGTTTATTAGCCCGTATAATAGACGACACCTAAACCACGGATCGTTAAACACAAAAGATGTAAATGAACGACAGTGTATGGAGTTAAATCACCTAGAATAAAATGAAGTCACAGCAGTTTACCAATTGATCCTTTACGGAATTTCTCAGTCTGTCTTCGTCAATTATGGTCAGTTGGGAAGGTTGCTTATGTCGAGACAGCATAAAACTCCACGAGAATTTAAAATTCCAGGATTTTTTTTTAAAATAAATTTGGCGTTTTCAAAATCAACTTCCATTTAACATCGGCATAAACAGTCAATGATTTGGCTTTTGAGAAACTTACATGGGGTCGATAAAACTGTATTTGCTGATGCTTCAAGAACACCAACTCCGATCAAGAATTCTCACATTGGATTTTAAAAAAATTCTTGTAAACAGAAAAGCCAAAGTTTGCCTTTGATTATGACGGTATCACCAGATCGTCAGTGGCAAAAATTTACAACCTCATTTTATTATTACGATGTATTGTTTACAAGGTATGTGCTGTGTGTATAGTGGTGAAGTTTGTGAGACAAATATACAGTTACTCTTACCGAGCAATCATTCTTCAATGCTATTCCTTGTAAGGTGTCGTTAGGTTGTACTACATAGTAGGTGTAACTCCCTGGAATTTGAGTGGGTGGGGGTTGAGTGGTGCCATAACGGCGGACCTTAAAAATTAGATGAATATTTAGTAATGTGCAATATAAAAAGGCTTCAGACCTTACTATAACCACACAAGAAAGTGTGTTCGTCTGGCTGGCTGCCACTTGGAGCGTAATAGTGGTTCATTCTGTTCCATCGTAAGTCCTGATCCAGCGCGTATTTGACAGTCGTTTTTGTAATGATGGAAAAATTACCGTAGTATCCCTGAAAGGTATCGATATCAATGTGTACGATGTGGACACTGTGTTAATAACGAGGTACAATGTAAGAAGTGTGTCAATGCCAACGAACAAGGGAAGAGAGGAACTTGGAACGACGTGATAGAAAGGACAAGAATGCGACGGCGGAACTAGTAGCTATGGAGCTTTCCTATAGAAGTCCTGAAACACGTCAGCTCAGTTGAAGATAGCAATGTGTGAAAATACACTGGTTTGGTCTGGCCTTGTTATCGCGTTCAAGATTTGAAAATATTTCAGCATTATAGTGGTTGTATTTCACATCATACCCAGCTGTGAAAAGTAATATTAAGCAGCAAATAAGAAGTGAACATAGAGATATTAGAGTTCGAGTTTGTGCAGCACTAAAGCAGCACTTACGTATAGGATACGACAATGAAAATACAACCTAAGAAAACCGGTTAACAAAGCATGCCCACCGGAGTGATGTGTAACAGGCCATCCTCATCATAAAATTGTTGCTTTTGCAAAGCTTGAATTCCGTTTTTTCTTAATACACTCTCGATTTTCAGCTACCTTCTAACGGTTTACACCTCATCGTAGCTGGGAGGTGTTCCTAAGTGTCGGGCTGCGATGTACAGCATGAAGACTCATCCCCCAGCAGGGTCACCAAAGCTGAAGAGTAGTCCGGCGTTTCCATTAGGAAGCCCAGCTAAGAGTAAACTAATACCAGGATCCACCACCGTCCTGATATCAAACGGCTGGCATGGTGGCAAATCTCACTCTGATCCACAAGGGCCGTGACGGCCTGTGGTGATGACGAGTTGGGGCAGACTTTGGCTAGGTTGACCTAGGGACACCAAGGAACCACAATAGTTAAAGGAGCAAAACTACGAAAAAGTGGAAATTATGCTGGGGCTCGTACAACTAGTGATGACGAGCCATCAACGTGTCCACAGTAAAGTAAGGATTGTCAGCCAATAAACGGAAAGTGATCTTTGCCATACATTTCCTTGAGGATAATGAACGCCGAACACTGCGTCTTGGTGCTTCTGAAGGACATACAAGCTTGGTGATAAGTACGATAATCCGATGGAATCTCTGAAATTCGGAACAAAACTTCAAAAACTAAAAGTGTCTCAGCCGAGACATGCTTTAGTTCTTCTGAACAATATCGATCCCTCCTTTAAACAGCATGAATGATTGTTCAGGAAACTTTGTAAACAGTGGTGGTTCCTCTCTGAGAAATGTCCGAGTCCTTGAAAATAAAACTACCAGAATATATAACTCGTATATATATTCCAATCCCGTTGACGGGTGATTGCTGATGGCAAAAGATCAATAGAACTAGCTGAGAGACAGGTAAAACGAAGGACCAGGACGGTGTGGTGGTGAAGTGCGCTACTCCCCGGAAAGGACAATAGCGCGCGTTCGTTCCCCACCGCATACACCTGCGGTCCGGAGTTTTGTAAATATCTCAGCATTATATACGAGTTATATTTCGCAACATACCCTGCCATTAAAAAGAAAAAGGCAGTAAATAAAAGGGTTAAGATTGTGATTACCAGAATATATCTTAACCTCGTGTCAGCCTAATCATGTAAAAACTACTAGGATACACAGCATACATTTACTTCCATAGAAAAACACAATACAATACAATAGTGGCTGACGTTTCGGCAGTATCGCCTTCTTCAGAGCCTGGAAGGGTATACTGATATACAATCTACTGGGCCAAACGCTTCAACGACGCAAACAGAATGATCAAAACATCAACATCATCAACAAAACATCAAGAAATCATCAACCATATGCGACTATGACCAGCTGTTCTAATCTTCCCCATTGGAAGTCACGTAAAAAGCGGTGAGTTTCCCGAGAAGCTGTTGATCGTGTAGTTACCAAAGAGTCTTTCGTCTTTGTGTAAGTGTTATTGAAGCGTTTGGCCTAGTAGATTGTATGTAAGTATACCCTTCCATGCTCTGAAGAAGGCGATACTGCCGAAACGTCAGCCACTATTGTATTGTATTGTGTTTTTATGGAAGTAAATGTATGCCGTTTGACAACCTCGCGATTGATGAACAAGAAAACGACGCATTCATACTCCAATGCCGAGGTTAATAGGAAGTCGATCCTTGGAACTGTTACAAGATATACATCTAGAAAAAGAGAAACGAAACGATACAAATCCATTTATTTAAAATTAGAGAATAAGTAAAATCAGCAATGCAGAAAACATAACTGAGAGGTAAAGAGCCCTCATAGGAGATATCGATTCGGGCCTTGAGAAGCTTGGCTCGCATCGCGCGCGACATCGCAGTCGATGGCTAGCGCAACTAGCGAGGTTGTGGAGGGAGGATTTCAGGATGTTGTGAGGGCTGTGATTTAGATATTTGGTTGGAGAATAATTCTTTCTACTTCTGTTCAGGTAAGACGAGGTGTTACTTCATTTCTTTATCTACGTACAAGCTGACTTTTCGGTGGATTTCACCTTCCTCAGAGCCTGGAAAGGTCAAGTTGACAGCAATCCATTCGGCCAAACACCTCCATAACCAAACAGAGAAAGCGCTAAACCAAGATTTCAGTCACATTGAACACAGGATAGCTTCTTTGCACACTCACCGCTTTCTATGAGTCTTCCACTAAATATGTCACGTGGAGACCAACCGCACCGAATTCACACGGAATCCTAGACTGATTGGAGACTGATAGACTATTTGATTGGAGACTTGCAATACATGAAGGGAAAGTACTTGTAAGTAAAAGAAACGTAATAATTTGTGAACATGCGACTTTTGCTCACGGAGCGTTCATATTCGATCCTCTCGACAAGTTTGGCTCTTTCGTACGTATAGCTTACCTGTTATGGCTACTATATATCTATCATTGCTACCGACCATATCCACTCATACTGTATGAGATGGTAGCAGACATAGTCCGAACTCGTTTAGGAATTCGAGTCTCTGACGATGTGTTCCGAAGTAGCGGGGGTGTCCGAGTTGACCCGAGCAGATACACACTCTGCGATTGCACCATCGGGTTTTTTCGTGGAGCGTCATTGCACACTTACTTCTTAATGGGAGATGACCCTTCACAACCGTCGGTATCCAATACAAATCATAGGAAAGAGATGAACAGAAGCAGATTCGACCGATTTGTGAGGAAGGTAGGCCAGAAACTGCTGCCAAAGCCATGCGACACAATCTTCGTACCGTCTTCGATTGCATCAGGTTCGTCAGCGTCATCACTTTCCATTTCATTTTTCGTACTGATTTCCCTTACACGAAGTTTTTTTCCTTTGTTCTTTGACCACTTCTTCAGGCCTTCCTTTGTTTATGTTGCACTTACTCGTTGATTGTCACTCCCTATAATTCCTGAGGCAATTTAAAAAAATAGTTCATTGCTTTCTTGATGAGCAAACACGAGATTGTTTCTCTGTTCTTTGTGATTTCGGCTAATGCTTCATCTTCATTGGGTTCATTGTGGTTTTGGGCTCCCTTGATCAATCTCCTTGATGGGTGATTGCTGATGCCACTGGTAGATAGAAAGCTGAGAGAATGGCGAAACGAAGGACCCGCACGGTGTGGTGGTGAACCCGTTGACCCCCTGAAAGCTTTAAACCCCCGGAAGGTAATGGCTGGTTGGATCTCCAACTCAGACACTCGCGGTCCGTAGTTTTGCAAATATCTCTGCATCATTGTAGTTATATATCTGTTCACTATTGGCAAATAAGCTGACTTTTTGGCGGATTTCGCCTTCTTCAGAGTCTGGAAGGGTCACGTTGAACCAAACACGTATATAACCTCAAAAGATGCTTGAATACTTGAATGGCCCGTCCTCACTGGTTGTGCGGGCCTAGCACGATCACCATTGTTCGGAGATTTGCTGGTTAAGCCATTGTGGTTCTCTGGAATCCCGAGGTCAGCCTGGCTAAAGTCTGCCCCAGGTCTTCACTACCACGGACAATCGCAGCCCTTGTGGATCAGAGGCAGAATCGCCACCACGCGACTTTGATACCAGGACTGTGGTGGATCCTGATATTGGATTACTCTTAACTGGGTGTCCTAATGGAAACGCAGAACTCGTTCTCAGCTTGGAAGATCCTGCCGGTAAAATGAATCCCCCGTTGCACATCGTAACCCCGAAAGGAAGAATCGTGAAGCCTATATTTCAATCTCATTGAACGCTTAATAGCTTCTCACATTTATCGCTTTCAGTGAGTCTTCAACTAAGTATGTTACATTGAATGATTCGAAGTGACGATTAAAAGAGTTGAGAAGGAGACAATGTAATGGAAAAGTGATGCGAAATGGTTGTTGAGGAGCACACCTTCATTTTTAGCAGTAGTTTTCAATAGGTTTCACTAGTTCTATTGCTAGCATTACTAAAGAGTGTTTTTGATATTCTTGAAGGCCCATCTTCTGCATTCTTTGGCTTTATCTAGCTGCAGTCATTTTCTTGTTGCGCGGATCGTAAAAGCATTTTATAGAGACTGATTTTTCAAAAGTGTCCAGAACGTTAAAACTTTTTTTCATGTGACCCATCTTCACGTCTACTGTGTAAACCTCGGCACTCCATGCATTCGATTCGTTTCCTCGTATCCTCCATCCACGTTGGTTTTCCAACTTTTACATGTGGCTTCGGGCACTGCTTGAACAATTTCATTTCATCTTAAACGTCGTAGAATGCTGGTCAGGTCGTTTCTCCCTAGAGTCCTGCGATAGGTGGTCTGCAGCGTTCCCAAGTGGGTTACAGAGAGCGATTTTTTCCTGGACAAGTCTGGTACCAATTTCCCGACCCCGCAGGGATGAGAGACTTGGTTGGCCCGGGGCGGAATCGAACTAGCACCATGTTCGCGATGATCGAGATCGCTACCACTGTGCTGTCTGCCCCCGTGCGTATAATTAGTCAGTGCTAAATCCATATTCGGAGTTATAGCTGTACAGGTACTAAGCTCTTTTTCTTTTCGAAGGAGTAATTGTTTTTTCTACACGAATCGTTTTTTCAGATCCCTCCTGCATTTCAAATTCTCATTCTACGGATGGCGAACAATCCTCGACCCATGACGACTTCTATCACAGCAGAAAAACTAGTGCACCAGCTAGTGGTGAGGTATTTCTAGGCTACAAAGCTGCCACTTTACTGTTTTATACCTATAATAATGAAATAAATTTCGATTCTTGTATCGACTACTTATAGTAGGGACGGCCTTGCCAGAGCTTTCCATCGACACGTTTGGCGGTGAGGCAGCTGGATCGGGTTATGGATGGATTAACACTCCGGGTGTTGGAGAACCATATCACGGCGTCGAATCCGTTATCAAAGGTTGCTCTCCAGTCGTGTTTTCCTATTTATGTAGTTGAATGTTCGTTTTTTTCTAATTCCACAGTTAAGTAGCTGTTTAATTCAGCACAACAGCTGGGATTGCAAATGGTAAATGAGCGAATAGAATGGACAAAGGAACAGATTGATTTATGTTGCAGTGATGAGAAGATGATTGCGGAATTTGTTGCCGAAGCATTTGTAGAAGAGCTGAACGCGGTAGGAATCAGTTCTAATGTACCATCCATATGTTATCCTAATTTTTCTTATTTCTAGATTCGTAACAAGTCGGACTATTTGGCATTGCGTGAGAGTGTGAAGCGGCTTGAGAACGAGATTAACGAACTCCGGCAGCTTTCGCCAAAATCTGTTCCTCCTCCAAGTTAGCTCTGTCAAGTTACCTTATTTTGTTATTTCCATATTAATCGCACCTCCCAACTACTTACCACCTGACCGTGGCTGGGAGGTGTTCCTGGATGTTGGGCTGCGATGTATGGCAGGATGATTCATCATCCGGGCGGGGTCTCCCAAGCTGGGAACGAGTCCAGCGTTCCTGTGAGGAAGCCCAGCTAAGAGTAAGCCAATGCCAGGATCCGTCATCGTCCTGTTATCAAACTAGTCGCTTGGGGGCAAATCTCTCTCTGATCCACAAGTGCGGCGACTGCCTGTGGTGGTGACGACCTGGGGCAGACTTTGTCCAGGTTGACCTCGGGACTCCAGGGAAATACAGTGGCTAAACCAGCAAAACTCCAAAAAGTGGAGAATATGCTGGGGTCCTTCACAACTACTGAGAACGGTCCGTCCAAGTATCCAAGCAAGTAAGTGAATCGCAACCACTGAGTTCGTTAAACGTATTTATTTTTTCTGCTTTCCGCTTCATGGTGTTAGTTAATGAGGCTAACTACTTTATGGATTCTTCTGTGTTTACTATATGCTCAATGGTAGATTGCTTATACAGGACCCGCACGACCAAATCAGCACTTGACATGGTCCTGTGTGCGTTGTCTTGAAGATAACTCCATCGCAGTGTATCGCTGCCGTTGTTCGTTTCCTCGCCCGGCGATAGATCCACGTGAAGGTTCCAGGTGTAACTGCATACATTGTTGTCAGTTGACAGGTCAGCATCCATTTTGCTGGTAAGAGTTCAAGGAAGAAGATAATCAAGTGCCATTTGAAAATTAATGCTATGGAAACACTTGAGACTTTTTAGCGGATAGAATGTTTGTTTCTCCAACCCCAGGCGATGGTGATTGGTTGCTAGTGAATAAGCTTTCTCCTAACAATGGATCCGCCACACCTCGATGGTTACCTAAGGCATTTTATCACGGTAGGTTTAAATTCGTACACGTATACTTGGTCTAACCGTTCCAACTAACTTTCCTATTTCACACTTACAGTTCATTTGGAGAAAAAGGCACGCTCTTGTATCCGGTCTTATGACGTATGAGTTTACAATAATGCTTTCTCAATGATGATCGTTCAGCCTATATTCATATTTCTACTAGATTTCCTCATCGATTTGGTTGTGATTGATTGCAGTGCAGATACATATTGATCGAAAATCTATGTCCATGTCTTCCCACTTTATCTTCTCTTTCTCCAATTCCCACAGTTTTCCGCGTTCATTTCAGACGACATGACCTGACAAAGCAGTCATTACATGCGAGTATCTCACCATTGCCAACAACAAAGTGTTCGAACAACGTTTCCTACAGTTATGTCTTTGTATTGCTGGATGTTTTCGATGCCCACTAGGATGCTCTGTACTTATATCGTCGATAGTTGTCTTTCCAGATTTCCTTTGTTTTCCTTTTTTTTTTTTCGTAAATGTATGACATGGTCATGCCTTCATATTGCCTTGTTGGACCGTTGATGAACGATCAATCTAGGCCTCTTATTTTATGGAAAATTAACGTTGTTTGGTTGGTTCCAACAAACCAGATTGGTTAATCTGATCATTGTTGCTGGTTTCAACTCGAGTGATGATATTGATGTTGTTTTTTTCGGTCTAGATCTGTGGTTTGTTAAAATAAAAGTAGTTTTATGTAGGGTGTTTATTACGAAGATGATGTCAATTTCACACATATTGTGGGTGTATTGATTGAAGCTCGCCCTATTTCAAGGATTTTCTTGCTTGGAGACGATATTCACAATCACCGTTATGCTGTGAAATCTATGCACTCCACAACTTTTTGTTTGCTGCTTACTATTATTTTATTATGGTGGGCTATTATGTGAAATACAGCCACCATGGAGCTCAGACATTTGCAAGACTCGGACTCCAAGCCAGAATCGAACTCCACGACTACCCTTTCAAGGGACTCATGAGGTTCCCACTACACCACTGAGCTCCGCGCTTTGTCCTTCTGTGGTCCAGTTTTTTACTCTAACGTTGCCATCAATAAACAACCGATATCGAGAATGATCTAGGGAGCACAAATCCGCTTTGGATGCATTTGATCTGGGGCTGTATTTTCTATTCATTGTGTTAGTTTGATCTAGTCGAAAGTCAGTGAGGAACGACTTTTTTGGCACTCGGCAGTTGCCTCAAGTAAGCTCATGATTTGGTTTACATACGCTTTCCAATATTTTGTTTTTGGGAGAGAAACTGAACAGTCACTGTTATGGAAACGAATGCGACATTTCATGTTTTTATTAAATAAAATCTTGAGCGTTCGCTGCTGCTCGATGGTTTCACCCTATGTGTTCCCTGTTCGGTTCGAGGTAATACTAAATACAAAGGCTACTAAGTGAAATGAAGACACCAGATTAAGAAACACATGTTTACAAAGTGGACTTATTCTTCTGTGGCAGTCTATATATACTCAAGAAGTAGTCGATTTCTTTCAACCACTTTAACACCTCGCAGCGGTTTATCGCCTCATTGTGGCTGGGAGGTGTTCTTGGGTGTCGTGCGGCAATTATAAGAGGAGTTATCCCCACACCAGGGTCTCGCAAGCTGAGAACGAGGCCGGCGTTTCCATTAGGAAGCCTAGCTAGGAGTAAACCAGTACCAGGATCCACCACCGTCCGGTATCAAACTAGATGTATGATGGAAAACCTCCCTCTGATCCACAAGGACTGCGACTGCCTGTGGTGGTGAAGAGCTGGGGCAAACTTTGGCCAGGTTGACCTTAGGATTCCAAAGAACTACAATGGCTTAACCAGCAAATCTCCGAGAAAGTGGAGATGATGCTGTGACCCGCACAGCGAGTAATGACGGGTCATTAAAGTGTCAAGTAAGTATTTGTAAATTAAGAATGGTAAAACAAGTATGAGATAACAATTAATATAACATGTTAACTCCTTCTAATGCTAGATTGTGATGAATTTGACTGATGAGCGAATTATAACTTTAGTCATGCTGAGATATTTGCAAAACTCCGAATCGCAGGTGTCTGCAGTGGGGAACGAACGCGCTATTGTCCTTTTCGGGGAGTATGATCTGGGAGACACAAATCGGCATTGAAACGGGTTAAGGTGCAGCTGCAACCGGAATCACAATGGTTTGGCCTTGTTTACCGCCTATTCCTTCCTCGCGACCTCGGTTGGTGTGGTGGATATCATGTGAGCCCATAGAAAGCGTAATCATGAGTTCGAAGCCCATCTGAGTCTCCGAGTTTTACTCATATCTTGTAACAGTGGTGGTTGTATTACACATCGTACTCTGTCGTGGAAAAAGAATAGGCAGTTTAAATATAGTGGCCACTTCGAAATCTTGATCGATACACATCAGCTGTTCTTCAACTCTTAAGAAAAGGTCTGAATTTACAGATATTTGCCTGTGAGATAGAAGTTCTTTCCTTCCAGTCAAGAAAATCTGATTCTCTTGAACCAGCGGAACGCATTTTTTCCATAAAAAGGTTTAAAAGCTCTCCTGCTTTGATCAATCCCCTAGGGACGTGCCATGCATTCGACTTCATTAAGCATCGTTTGGAGGTGATTGAATGCATATCTTATCTTTACAATGGCTCGCAGTGGCATACCGATGTTTCGAGCCAGTGCTAGTATCCTCCCACACAAGTCTGGCACCAATTTGCGGTCCTCGGAGTGATAGAAGACCTTGTGGGTCTGGGGCGTGAGGATCGATTCCATGTGTTTTGAAGGATGCCTCTAATCACTACGCTACACGCACCCTTTCTTCGCAATTGTCCTCATATTTTGTTTGAATGCTCATATTTCAAATACGAAATCGCTTAAACAAGAGGAATTTCATCCCATAGGATATGATGTTAGTCTCGACACATCGTTAACGTTCGTAACAGCTGCGCTTGCGTTAGAAATTCTGAAAAATCTGGATTTCTTTTCTCCTTTTTTCTAAGAATTCCAGGTCTAAGCACGTTTAGAGTTAAAGTGGAAAAGTGTAAAGGTTATAGGTGCGAATAAAACGATAGAGCGGAATCTCTTCTATAAATTCATGAAGTTCTCAGCTTTTCAAATACTCTACTGAAAGACAAAGTGTCGTCTGTTGACGTCACGAAAAACCAGCATCGGACATGTTGTGCACTATTGATCATGCTTGATTCTTTACACTTTGTGGGGGAAAAACTTTATGGGTTCTTATACGGACAGGTAGCTTTTTAATTTGATATTTCCTTTCTTTGCCTTCTTTCAGCATTTGCCGATACTTTTGAATTCGCAGTTTTGCGCTTCTTGTGTACTATAGCAAGTTGGTAAAATATTCGGTGTTTAATATAATCTTTTACTGTAACGGCGATATTATTAGTGGTGGTGCCTTCCTACGTAATTGCATCTCATATCATCACCTTAAGTAATCGTTAATGTCGTGTATAGCGCAGTGGTCGGCAGCGCCCTGCAATACGCATAGGGTCGGTTCGCGGGACCAAGGTCACCAAACCTTTCATCTCTGCGGGGTCAGCAAATTGGTACCCGACTTGTGTGGGAAGATAGCAGCACTGACTCGATACATCGTTAGACCATCGCGAGTCATTGTAAGGGCCAGATGCATTCAATCATCTCCAGCGATGCTTGTTGAATCGAATGCATGGCATATCTCCTAGGGATTAATCAAGGCAGAGAATTTTATCCTTTATTTTTAGGTAATTGTTGGAATGTGCGACCAGCTTGAGATATGTGTGATGCCATTTTTTCTTCGTTAAAAATTTAGGTTTAGAAAGGATGGTGCTGCATCTTTCAAATGTTTGATGTTTTCTATTGCCTAAATTAGAAATTCCAAACACAAAGCAAGAAATTTTGCGTCTTTGTTGATCTCTGCAGCTTGGAGTTCTTACTCTATACCCTAACTATATATCTACCTGTATTTTTTTTTAAAGTTTGTGCTAATTATAAGCAACGTTTCTTACATAGTTGGGAGGACGTTATCCATAAGTTTCTGCCATTGTTTCTTACCTTTACGTTAGTGCTTGGTGGTAATCTTGGATAATTGTTATATTCACTTCTTGATTCTTCATTTATTTATTCGGATGATTTTGTAGTTTTGTATCGATTTTTATTTCCATTGAGATAGTTGAACAGCTTTCTCGTTCAACTGTAGTCATTTTAGATGTCAACCGTAGTCGATCAACTGGTAGATATGGGCTTTGATCGAGTTCGTGTTGAATATGCTTATGAGCAAACTGGTAAAGGTCCACTGGAAGTGGTAAGTCTCTGATGTCTCAATTCAACCCTAATTTAATTATGTAATACTCGTGCGTGCTTTATGTTATTATTGGGAATGTTAAATCTGCAATAGAGATTTTTGTCCTTTAGTAGTTATGGTAAAGGGTAAAGCTCTCGGTGTTGATCAATCCTTGAGGGATGTGCCATGAATCCGACTTCATTGACCATCGTTTGGAGGTGATTGGATGCATATCTGGCCTTTACAATGACTCGCGGTCGCTCACCGATGTATCGTGGCAGTGCAGCTATCCTCCCAGACAAGTCTCGTACCAATCTGCCCACCACAAGGGATGGATGGCTTGGCGAGCCTGGGACGCAGAAGTCGATCCCATATGTATTGCAGGGTCTCTCCGACCACTGCGCCAGATGCGCTCTTCTCTATAGGGTCGCAAGTTGGCACCAGCCCTATCTTGGAAGATAACAGCACTGGCTCGACACATCGGCAGGCCACCGCGAGTCATTGTAAAGGCCAGACATGCATTCAATCACTTCCAACGATGCTTAATGAAGTCGAATACATGGCACATCCCTCAGGGATATCAGGGGGATGGATCAACATCGAGATCTTTACCAGCAGCAGCTGTAGCAATTATGTTTGGTAGCTTATTAAGTCAATATTTATCGCTGTACTTCAGGTTATGGATTGGTTGATTAGTCACGAAGAGGAAGAGATACCTCCTCCGCAGCAAACTACTGAAACCGCAGACGTTGGTAAATCAACGGAGACGTCAGCAGAAGTTGTAGAAGGAGCTCCTGGTAGCTATAAGTGTAATGAGTGAGTTTAAAGGAAATCTACACGTGCCCATTTGAAAATCTTGACGATGTGCTTCTTTTTCCGCTGCAACAAGTTGTTTCGAGACGAAAATGGAATGATGTTTCACGCCGCTAAATCAGGCCATGAAAACTTTTCGGAGAGCACCGAGGTGTTCATTGATGTTCAACTTACGTAATATTAGTTACTCTTATTAGACTCGTAAACTGGTCGATTTTGTTCTTTTTGAGGCTTTTTTGTAGTTTATAGGAATTTTGATCTAGACTGTTGCATCGCTAACTCCTGAAGAACGTGCTAAAAAGGCTGCCGAATTACGAGAGAGAATAAAGATTGCTCGCGCTCAAAAAGAGGAAGCAGAAAGGAAAGAGGAGGTACCAACGCTTATATTCTTGTTCGCTTGGTTACTCTTCTGTTTTTGTTTCATTGGCTTTTCAGCAGTTGTCTAATCCATGTTCATCCTAGATCGAGAAGGAGCGTCGTCGTCGTGAAGAGGGCAAAAAAATGCTGGAAGTCAAGCAGAAACAGAGGGAAAATGAGTTAAGGTATAGGTATTAAGGCTGAGTTATAAATAATGGTTAATTTTGAACGATAACTCCGAGATGCTATCAGTCGAGTCAGGCATAACCTTATTAATTAAAATACGCATAATTAGAATTTTTCTCTCTGATGAGAAACTAGTTTATTTGTTCCTCTATTCTGAATTCTAAGCTCTGATTTCTTCGAACTTGTTTTTCAGCAAAGGCTTAGTTATTGAAGATTCTTCCGTGGACTCTGATCCTATTGTTTTTTATGGTTGAAGAAATGGTAATCAGTTGGCGGTGGCTCTGGTGAGCAGGCTGGATCAAACAAAGTTTGTAGCCCAATTCCTTCAACTTCTGCAGTGTTACCTACTTTTGTTCTGCAGTGTTAGTTGTTCGAATTGTCGTTGCTTGTCTTCGCTTAGCGAAACTCGTTTATATATCCCGATCTCAGATGTTTTAATTATTGGTACGTTCTGTCGTTTATATTTATTTATTTTAATAACCTAGGCTAGGTCCAAAAATTTACAAAGGATGTCTCCATACTCAGGTCTGCAAAAGTCCTTCTATTGATGCAAATTCGGCTTTGGGAAGTGTTTGGAAGATTCGTTTTGGTCCATCTACTACGTTGAACATCGTTGGTTGTCATGCAGTAGCCACTTTTAGTCGCACCTCACGGAGCGATAGACAATGGGGTAGCTTTAGTTTCACTAAAGAATTGTAAACTGTACTCCATGGTAAGGATCTTATCATATATACATCGTAAAATTCGTATGACACTCGTTTATCGAGTTTTTTCACGTTTCCACGGCGTTTCAAGTGACGAGGGATTGTTGGCTTGTCAACAATAGTTTTTTTTTTTGCAATCTTTCGAGTTTTTGGATGGTCAACGTCGATTATTGCATTCGGATGGTCAGTGTGAAATGTTGAGTGCCAGTTCTTCCGAATAGAATGGCAGAATGGCTTTCGCATTCTTCTTCAACGTTATGACTCATATCCTTTGTACAAAGTTTTTCGAAATATCTGTACAAAAGAATTCATAGGAACGGTACTATAAGGCATATAGTTAGGCAAAAAATAAGCTTTGAGATGTTATAATAACAGCAGTGTAAGCAACAAATGTTTGTTATGAAATGTGTTTGTAAAATTCGTAACGAAAAAAGACGGCCATTATTCATAGCTCAACTTAATACAGCACTCTTATGTTCAATATTTACGTATAGTTTTTTAACATTCGATGATTCTTTGAGGCCAGTTAGGTTCACCTCTTCCAGAGCAATAGCAGAGGAACGTCGTAGGGAAAAACAAGAGGAAGCTGCTGCGCGGCAGAGGGTCTTGGAACAGATTAGGATTGATAGGGCACGTTTCTTATACTGTTAGATTCTTTGAATAGCCGATTTTAACATGGCAAGGGTATACAGTCACAAATTCTGGTGCACTGGTGATTTCAAACGTTATGAAAGGACTAGTGCCCAAAACGTTACCTAAGAACAACTGGAAAAGAGAAAATCGTGCAGAAACTTTTACATGACTCGCGTTAGAGACATGAAAACGTGTACTAGTCTTTTTTCGTGTCGACTCACTGTTGACTGCACAGTAAGTTAATAAGTCCTATTACAAGGGTCGATTTCGTGGAACATTTAGATCCTAGATTTTTATGTTTGTATAAAGTAGAAATGAAAAAGACGTGTGTGGCGCAGTGTTCAGAGGAGCCTTGATGTGCACATGGGATCTATCCTAGCGCCCTTAGCCCACCAAGCCTTCCATCCCTCTGGGATTGCAAATTGGTACCAGACTTGTCTGAGAGGATGGCAGCACTGGCTCAATACATCTACAGGCCACCGCCATTGTAAAGGCCAGATCTGCATTCACCACTTCCAGCGACGCTTAATGAAGTCGAATGCATGGCGTCTTCCTCAGGAATTGATCAACGCCGAGAGCTTTATCCTTCTATTATCCTTATGAATTCGAATCAACACCAATAAGAGACTATGTTTAAGAGTAGTGGTAGAAGCGAATCCTATTGCTTCTTATTGCTACAAATCTTCCTTATTGATCGTCATCTTGACAAAATGGGGTTTGATTCGTATGTTTAGTGTATTTTAGGGCACTACTTATGGTCTTTGTCAGTCTCTTCCGAGTGTTTTATGCTGCATTAGTGTTTCACAAGGCTTGTTTTTTTGATGCTTAATTAGCGCAGAACAATTACCCACCACTCTTTCAATCTCTCGTGCTCACTTTTCACAAGCCTGAAATTCACTGTGGCCGTAGATCGGTCTCAAGAGCATCTGCTTCTTTTCGAAAACATTGATTTATTGCTTAGTTGACCCACGAAACTAGTTACTAGAATTATGTCAGAATTGCATTACTTGTCGATATCTGTATGGAACACTAATTTGGTGATGTATCACTAAGAGATTGAGTAGTACCGTAAATTTTGTCTTCGCATTTTCAAAATGCTAAATATTTGAGGAGGTGCGCAAGGCGAAGGCCAGTGGCCGGCATCCAGCTCCTTCTGCTCCTTTTTCTGCACCCGCTCACTCTGCACCTACTCCTATTAAGACGGATTACAAAGAAGCAATGATACAATTAAGTTTATTACTTTCTTAATTGGTATTTATGGATTACTATGAAGCTTGTTTATTAAATCTCTGACGACGATTAATAAGTGTCAGTGGTATTTGTTAATAATTAACTTTTTATGTGCGACTTCCGACTGGTCAAGCAGTTAGACACAATTTTGGAGCATCAGAACCGGTACATTTCTATGAGTTGATGTTTAATATTCAAATAACAAAGTGTTTCTATAATTAAAAAAACAGATTCGAATCATTAAGATGTACAGAAGTGTATCCTTCAATTAATTTCTTATTGAAAGCTTCTTTTCCCTCTTGTTGCCTACTGGTTTCTTACAGTTATCTGCCGTTCGACTTTGGTTGGAAATAAATCATTCGGATGGGTCGCCGTTCACACTTCTCATGCCATTTCCTCGCAAAGTAATCACTGAAGAGGATTATGACAAGCCATTGAAGGAACTCGGTTTGTATGGCTCACCATTTATGTTTTATAATGTGCCTTCATATAGCGTTTTGTGTTATTTGCCACTGAACAAAGACTCATGTCAGGTCTGGTCCCATCGGCTAATTTCGTCATGACGCGCCAATGCTGAGTTTTAATCTCGAAGCCGTGTTATTATTGCATATGAAATTTTCATCCTGAAAATGTTCAGTTGTTGCAAAACTAACCTCGCTTTGGTGTTTCTGCTCACATCCCAGTTCCAGCGGTGAAGATTGTTGAGACTTTTTTTTCCTAGATTTTTCTACAAGAAGAAACGACATTTCCATCTGGTTCCTTCTTGCCTCTGTCGTTCTAGATCAGAAGCAAATATTTATTATAGAATGCAAAATGGGATAACCTATTTGAATAAAAGTCATTGTATTATGTTGAGAATTGAATACAGAAATTGTTTTTTTTTTTTTGGAATAGTTCTTATGCTGCAGTTTCCCGAAGGAACTTGACACTTTAAGCGCGTCCAATGAGTTGAAACGTTAGGTAGCAAGAGACCTATAGCTAGAAATGTAGCGGACTACAGTGATGTGTAGAAATTCAAATCGGACACGAATTTGATAGCGCACCTTCATGAGGTTGTTCAACAATATTTACCTAATAAGGTAACCTATTCATAGTTGTCCTCTGTTGCTCATTCTTTACAAGGAAGTATCGTTATCAGATTTGGGGCCGAAAATGTTTCGCATTGGTTAATCCATGAAATATGCGTGATGCATTCGACTTCATTAAGCATCGTTTGGATGGTTAAATTCATGTCTGCCATATACAAATGAACGTACGTTGGCCTACCGATGTATCAAGTCAGTGCTGCTATCCTTCCAGACAAGACTGGTTCCAAATTGCCGACCCTGGAAATATGGAGGAATGAGTGAATCCGGGATAGGGAATCGAATCACGGATTGCGTGTTTATTGCACGTTGCCTCAAACCACTTCTACAGCAACCGTTCTGTACCTATAAAAGGATAAAATCTAATGGCAAGCAATGTTTCAAATCCACTGCTTCCAATTAGTGGATTATTGTTTGGTATGTTAGGTAGGAAAGTTGTGATTTCGTTCTAATTCAGATTTCACATCATTGCAAGATCGATCGGTAATCATCAGGTTACAAGAAAAATGGAGTAACAACAATGATTAGTTTTCTTATCATCTAGTGATAGAATGTATTTTAATGTGGCTGTCATCGTACGGCGAAATTTGCGAGAAACTTCGTGAAGGTGCTAGAAACAACCGACAACTGATCGACAAAATTAATCAGATAGACGTACAACTCACATAACTTCTGGTCTTTCGGAGAGTTTGCTACGAACATGTTACATAGGAGAACGCGATTTTATAGTTTTCTGAGATTTTTTGGAGTGCTCATAGTATGATGTCCATTTCCTACATCCACATGTTTGTTTGGTTCCAGTGTGAATTTCAGCCACATTTTGAGGTAGACATTTCAATGAGACTATAATTCGGATCCAGAATCTTCTTTCCATTTAACTGATAAGTTACTGATAATAGGAAGGTTTTCATTGTTGTAGGTTCTTGAAGAATCTGTATCTTTTCATCTGGAAGCCATTGTTAATAGGAATGAGTTTTAACACTTTGTGACTGCATCTATTCTCCGACAGGGGTGATTCTTGGAATTGAACAGTATAAATACAACTCAGTAACAATACAACAGTAACTCTTGGCTGGGTTTCTTTGTGGAAATAGCCAGCTCTTTTTTCCCAATCCAGATGGAACTGCACAAAAGATGATGCGTCTCACCGTATGCATCACACATCGACATCCATAACATTATCTTCAAATTAGAAAGAACAATCTTCTTTAATTTGAAAAAACCTTGGGTGGGAATTAAAATTCATTAATAGCCCTCGGAAAGCGTAATAGCGCGTTCGTTGCCCATCGCAGACACCTGCGGTCCGGAGTTTTGCAAATATCTCAGCATCATTCAAATTAAAATTTAATAGCTTCTTAGGAAATTGTTATAGGATTGTTAGGAAAACATGTTGAGGTTGATAACAGGTTTTAATCGGCTAATGTTTCATCTTCTTCAGAGCGGGATTGATTCGAGTCGATCGTCCAGGAGTGTTCGTCCTGGGGATGTGAGGCCTTCTTTGTCTAACACTGTAAGAGAAGACTGAGGGTAAATGGAGTTTACAAATACAGTCCTATGCATTAGTAAGATGATTTTGGTGAGCATACAAATGCAATTACGTAATGAATCAAGATTATTGTTTAAAGAAAAAGAATAAAAAGTCATAGATAGTTTTTATGGGAATAGGAACGACGGATAATTTCGTTCGGAATCTCGCTTATACAGAGATTAGCTCCTCGTGCCTTTCATGGTACTGGATTTTTTGTCGTCAATGTTCTTTTGTACGGTAACAAAACACCCAAAGATTAAAGTAAAAGACCAGTTTCTCAATTTTAGAGAGATGTCATTATCCTGGTAAAGGGTTCACGAAGATCGTCTTAGGAAGAAATACCCCTTGCATCCTTCATAGGCCTGTGAATCGCCAGTTGTTGCGCGGGTGCCGGAAATGTGATCGTTCTTAGTGACTTGGCGAAGGATCAAACCAAAGAGCACGTTGTGAGCTGTGTGGTTGCTGTATTACACTGCACTAATTATCACACATATGACTTAAATTCCGTAAAATTGCTGGCAAATATCCACAAATAGTTGGGAATGCAGTTGGTTTTTCCAGAACGGTGGAGATTCTCACGACTAGTTCAACAGACGTGCTGGATCGGGTGACAGGAGGTGACAGCACTGCGCTTTATGGTCAATATATAAACTCTCTAAGTATAAGATTGGTTTATGTCTTTAAAAAAGTCATGAAAAGATGGATTTATAACGACTTAGGGGAAGTGGGTTATCATCAGAGGTCGGTTACTGAGTCATCAGGAACTGTTCAGATAGTTAGACATTCGTTGGACTTGATGTTTTATTTCGGTGCAAATCCCAGATTTCGAGCCATTTCGTCTTTTTTCTTTCAAGTTTTAGTAGTGAATGATAGTATTGGGAAGAATCAGAGAATAGAAAATTGTCAAGAAGTTGGCACTGATTATTTATATCACATCGGTCAATAATTTAATACAGGAATAAATGAAAGGTGAACAGGTTAATGAATGATTGAAAAGAATTGTGATGAAAGTGAGAGAAGTCTCTAACAATTTCGAAGCTATTGGTTTGTGGTGCATTGAAAATTAGAACCTATATAAGTTTGAAGCATCTCACATTTTGTGTATTCATTCAAAGAGAAGGTGGAACAGTTGTAGTGATGCTGATCGTCACGAGCACGGTGCTGGACCGATGCAGTGCCGGCTTCACCGAGCCTCATTCCTCCCGGTTCAGGAGATTGCAATCGTACTTCTTTAGAAAAGTTTGCTCTTTGCAGTCCAAGTGGTAGCACTCTAGGGAGAATTGAATTGACCATCATTCAACGAAATTCATGAAAACGACGACAAACCTCAAGCAGTAGCGATCGCGAACCCACACGCGAAAAGATGGAAGACTTTCGTGGACTATAGATGCGATGAAACGAATCGAGTGCAAGAAATGCTGGAATCTGCATAATAGATGTGAAAATGGGTCATTTATTAGTAAGAAATCTTCACTCGATCGTAATTTTCATTTCATTCCAATAAGGCACTATTTTAGACAAAAAGCGTTGAGAATTCATAGTCTCGAAGAAAACGTCTTATAAGAAAAATGAGAAAGAAGAAGACCTAAAAATAGAGTCACAGTTCATTTCGAAATAGTTAAAACATAGCTATGTAAAAGGCAAAGCAAGGAGCTCGGTTGGTGTGGTGGGTTGCACGTGATCCCCTGATAAGAGTAGTTGTGAGTTCGAGTCTCTGCTGAGGTTCCGAGTTGCTGATTTTTCAGCATCAAATAGCCACTAAATAAAAGTGAAGTGAGACATAGTAGATAAGCGTTTATTTTTGCACTTTCTCTTTTTTTTCTGAAAGCAAAGCGGTAATGTTAACAGATTCGCAACCGTACTGACTTCCCGATATCTTATTTTATTTTTTATTTTATACGACTCGTCTTTCACGTCTACAGTGCGGGTCCCAGTGCTTCTCAGACTTGATTCGTTTCCTCGAACCTGTCATCTACTGTCTTCGAG